AAAAATGCAATGACATGCCATTTTATCGATATAAAGTACCGCAGTAGTACGCATCACCTCCGCAAGGATTGCATGCACCTGTTCTCTTTGTTCGTGTTAATCCCATGATGCAAAACGACACATATCCGTAATTCTATAAAGGTTTTTTTGTGTATTTTTTTCTAAGTGCAATTGCAAAACTGTGAGTGCACTTCACATGACAATCAATTTTTTTTTTTTTGCTTTCTGTACACACTTATGACGTCATAATGATAATGAAAATGTTTATTTGGTTTATTTTATTGTTGTTTAAGTCCCTTCGAGAATTTTTCAATCATATTAAGACTCTCCCATACGTAGAGACGTATTTAGAGAATGCCCTGTATATCAAACAAGTGTTTGGGGTAAAAATAAGTTTAGAGAATGCCCTGTATATCAGACAAGTGCCTGGGGGTAAAAATGAATTTAGAGAATGCCCTGTATATCAAACAAGTGCCTGGGGTAACAATAAGTTTAGAGAACGCCCTGTATATCAAACAAGTGCCTGAGGTAAAAATGAATTTAGAGAATGCCCTGTATATCAAACAACTGCCTGGGGGTAAAAATAAGTTTAGAGAATGCCCTGTATATCAAACAAGTGTTTGTGGTAAAAATGGGGGTGTACCCTATATATGGAACAAGGACTTTGGGTAAAAATAGGGACAAGATGCCCTGAATATGAAAAAAAAATGTCTTGGGGAAAAAGTACGAGAAGATCCTGAATACGGAACAAGTGCCAGGGGTAAAAATAAGTAGGGGATTCAATGTATATGAAACATGTGTTGTGTGCATATAAGTATAATTACATGCTGTCCTTTATATGAAATAAGTGCATGTGGTAAATATTATCGCATGATGCCCTGTGAGAAACAAATGCCTTTGGTAATTTTAATTCTGTGATGCCCTGAATATGAAACAAGTGCCTGTAGGAGTAAGAAATCACTAGGGCTGGGACGATACAACTTTTTCTATATCGATACGTATCACGATATTTGAGCCACGACACGATATGTTTAATTGCATATAAAATCTGTTTTTGCATTGAAATAAACAAATTATTTCTTTGCAAATAAGAATAATTTATTCAAAATAGTTGTTTATATGTTGTAAAACAAAAATATTTTACTCAAGTGGTGTATTATTATTTATTTCATATCTACATTTATATTTATCTTATTTACTTTATATATTAAACCCCAAATTAAATAAACAAAGAAAAATAGAAGTAAGATTTTGGGGGGCGATATTTTGATATTTCTTCATATGTATCGATATGCGTATCGTCCTCACAGATATCTCGATATATCGTCCCAGCCCTAGAAATCACTGCGCCTCTGATATGCTAATTGAAATATATCCAAATTATTCTCTACTGAATCGAACTTTCCATCATCTTTAAGGATAATAAAGGTCATCGAAAACTAATTTTTTACATAAAAAACATGGGTATAATAAAATGTGAGTTTCTGCGTAAACCATTTGTCAGTCGATCAACCTGACATCAAAGTGACTGCAGTAAAACTATATACATGTACATGTATATTGGTTTATGTGTTTTTTTTCTTCGATACATGAAAAGTTAAATTTTCAATAAGAATCAAGTTTTTACAGCACTTTCTCGGCTTAGAATGACCGATTCATTTAGATTTTATTTTTTATTTTTTTTTTCCTTTACCAAAACTGAATGTGCATGACTTTAAAATCTTTTTTATTCTTCAAGCCCTGCCATTTGAAGCGTTTATCAAATATAGTGTGCGTTTGGTATACTTATCAATGTTTCATATGCTTTATGTTTTAGTTAAGTGTATATTTTGTATAATAATGTTTGATTTAACAATGAAATAAGATCAATTATATTTTGAACACTAGAGCTTAAAAATCACTTTGTATTAATAAAAGAAAAAGGCCTTTACCAAAACATACAGTTCGACGCTGTGTTGATTTTTATCAAATTTATACTGCTTTAAAATAATAAATCTACAACTGTATTCTTAACATGCATGAGTTAATAAATTTTCTAATTCATACTTTTCTTTCCTGTATATGTACTTTGGGTTTGAAACATAAGTTGTGATCTCGAAAAAGTAGCATATTTTACTTTGTTGTTGTTGTTGTTGTTGAATATATGCTCCTTGAAAAGTGCAGTCATATACTGGAGCTAATTTGTAAACTTCTGGCTTATTAAGAGATAAAGGCTAAAATTAAAAATAAATATATACTTCCGTACATTTCTCGTTTCATTTTGTAATCAACATGATATGGCATACAAGAAAAGTTAGTATTTTGTCTGTGAAATACTCTATTTCAAATTTCAGTCAAGACGGGACAGTTTTAAGATGATTCATGACTGTCTTCCTATACAGAGCTTAGTCATTCGTAAAAACCCACCTCTCTCTCTCTCTACCTCTCTCTCTCTCTATCGTGAAACTTTTTTTCCAACAACAGATGCAGAATTAGTATCTATATATCGTATTTTTTTTATTAGTGTCACGGCGGTAGGTCCACCGCGATGGTTCTCTCGGAAATGTTGATACAGTCATTTTAATGAGAGAATATTTCTGATATTAACCTTAATAAGTAAACATGCTATAATATTTATTTTTTTAATCAGCTTTGTAGCACAGCGTGGTTTAGAGTTTGTAAAAACAAAGTTTATTTCTTTCTTCCATTTTAATATGCTGTTAAAATACATATGAATAATATCAATAAAACATGCAAGTGTGTGAGGGGGGGGGGGGGGGCTTTGTGGGTGTTAGGCCTCTGTCTCACCCCAACATATTGTCAGGTCAATGCGTAGTTTTCCCCCTAAATTAGCGAAATCAATAGCATATATAAAAACAGAAATATTAAGAGGTATATTTTGCTGGTCCAACAAGTGTAAAATTAATTAATAGAATTCATAGACATAGTACACAATTTAACTTAAACAGTCAGTACATACATAATTTTTTAAGTAGACCTTTGAATTATGAATTCCTTTTTAATTAATCTTACTGACCCTCGATGTGAATCATTTAATTTTATTAGTTGATCCTCACGTCGTAAAGAGTGGATAACAGCTGTGGTCTGAGACTGGGGGGATGAGTCAGTGGTCGGCAGGGGGTCTGACTCTAAGTGTTGACTCACCGGACCCGACGTCTGAGAGTAGACCAAAAGGGGCGTGTCCACAGTGGAAAGAGCGCTTTATGCATATAACGGGATTTACATATCAATTAATAATAGTTAGCATTATACATATTCATCGTAGATAACGATTACCAACAGTAAATAAATCGAATTCTACGGTACTAATTTTTTTTTATTAATATCGATTTATTTGGACTATTGACATCTCTACTGAAGTCCTAAATTCATTATAAAGATTTCCGAATGCATTCTAATGCATGTTTAAATAAAATAACTGTTTGTATGATAACAGATATTCTATTTACCAATCAATTAAAAAATTTTAAAAATTGAAAACTATAAATTTTAGCATACATGTTTATAAATGCACAATTAAAACATTATGTAGTATAATATTTTTATGTGTAAATCTAAAGTTACATAAATGACTAAGTTACATTATTTTCAATGTGTCAATGGTCAATCATAGACAATCCAAGTATCCAGATGAATGTCAATGATCACAGGACAGCCAGTACAAAGAATGATATGCTAAATATGTTAAATCGTGCATTTTAGAAAAAAAATGTCTGGTAATATATCATATATTATTATACATATGGAAGAATTTAAAACATGTACAGATATGACAGTGCAAGTAAGACGGAAGAAGAAAAATCAAGTATGGCATATTTTTGACATGTGTGATCCACAGAAAATGAAATAATCCAAAATTTCTTTCTTATGCACTGGCGTAATAAGAGGGGCCGGGGGGGGGGGGGGGGGGCTCTTCTCCCTTTTGTGTCCTAAATATACACAAGATTTAATAAATCACTTTCTTTGCTATGGCTATGGGTCCCTACCCCAACCCACCCCCATCCCCTTTTCAGGATTCCTGGATCCGTCACTGTCATGAATAATATAACATTAAAGGTAAACTGGAATATATCTATTATGGATTAGTTTTTGTGCTAGCTCGTTTTTACCATTTAATACTAGTAATTTATGAATGGTGTGGTTTTATGGTCCCAGCATTCATTCGTCTTTTACGGCGATATAGGTGCAGGAGAGATAACTCGTGTTCTTTGCATAGACGGACAACTTCTAAGACATCCATATTTTTCAGGGGGAAAAAAAGATGCTCTCTTGATTTTTTTTCTTTTGAGAAAGTTATATCATATGAGTTCATTTGCAGCATATAGTAGTTGCCCAATATTTTCTCATGAAAAATCAAGATCAGAAATCACATTTGTTCAGTTTACATACGGGCACATTGGTAAATGCTTGTAAATTTAACACAGTCATTTATTTTACCTGGGTATAATGTTAGGAAATCTTTAATTTATTAAAAATTGTTAAATTAACTTTAGATTGCAGTTTATTCCTTCTGTGGACATCCTAACTACTGGAAACTACTAGAGCTTTTTACATGAATGTAATGTGCAGTGATTAGACAGTTTCCTTCGCTTAAATATCACTGTTTATTTTCCAAATGAGAGAAATATATAGTTACCCTAACCCTTATATTATTGAAAAAAAAAATCACAGAATCAATAAATTATAAAACTTAATGAAAATGCACATATTTGTAAAGCAAAAAATACTGTAAATTTGTAAATTTAATTGCAATAGTATTTTTTTAAATTTAGATCAATATTTGGTACAAACTCGCGTACATGTAAATTAGTCTATATATTAACTTAATTATTACATTTTGTCACACTGGAAGCGTGTAATCAATTAAGCTTTAGAAAAGATTTCAGATTTCGAATTATGCCTGGATTTAAATATTCATTATTATTCTTTCTTAATATTTCTAAATATTCCTGTTAGCATACTCTAATAAAAAAGGAAAACAGAAAGTGTCTTTTTCTTACCAGAACTAAAAAAAAATCCAAACATCATACAATTGTTACTGCATTGCTGTAAAATGCATCTAGATTGCAGCAGAACTCGCATGATTATGCACACATAGTTTGGCGTAATCACGCTGTACTTATTTACACGAGTGTACATATTAGATGGAGTTAAATATTGGTGATAAAATGTGGAACGTCAGCGGGGATTGGGATGAAGGCTTTCATCTGGCAGCTGTTTTAGCCCGCATTCAATTTACTTTCATGTTCTAATAAATGAAAGTTCGTCAGTTCCTAGTAAGCTTGTATAAATTCTCTTTACGCCTACGCCTTTTCGGAATAACCTGGGTTTAAATCTCCCCGTTTGTTTTTCATTAAAAGATAGAACAGATACACGAACATAAACTGTGGACTTATTCAAGTTAGCATTTCTTTTGAAATAACTTTTTTAAAATAAAAAATATGCTTTAAATTTGAATATAAGCCTTTTACCTATCACAATAATGCAATTCAATATTTAAGATACATCCAACAAGTTACAAAATTTTAGAACTCTTTTTTGAAAAAAATATACGTCATTCCCGGTATATTTGAAAAGCAATTAAGTTAAATTCATCTTATGAGACAAATTAAACTACATCATAGTGCGATCTGCATGTTTCGATTTTTTTTTTCAAAACAATTTATGTAAGAGATAACGCATATTTTTCTGTCATAAAATTAAAATTTACAATAATTCTTCGAAATGTTTCTGACATTGAGCATAATTTTGAAGGGATTTTATTAACTTTTTTTTTGTCCGAGACAGCGATGTTCCATATTAGGAATTTTTCGCGTACACTGTAAGGAAGATAACTCGTCTTTGTTCGAGCATCCTTCAAGACCGAACCTCTGACCCCCTCGTCCAAGAAATAGAATCGTCCATTCCGGAAGCCATCCGAAACGATCATCGCGAACGGGGAAAGTGGATGCTCAGAGAACTGAGAAGGTAAACAGACGGTGTGTGTTAATCTGGTTTGTTTTCTGTCTTTATCTACTGATTGCAACAGCTCGCACTGTTAATCAGGTGTTGATTGCAATTAACTTTTCATGCTTTAGGTGTAGTCCCGACGTGTAAAACTTTCTGCGGCAGAAGAGAGGATTAGTCAGTTAGTGGCGAGATGTCCTACACCACTAGAACGACCCGAACTGTTCGCACGTTCTACTCTGATGGGCGTGGCCCGCCCAAGGTAGAGACCAAGACCTACACCTACGGGGATGACAGTGGCGGATCATCGATTAACGGAGGTGTGAATTTCGGGGGCGGGGGTGGACGTTTTCAGATTCGCTTTGGTGGACCTAGGGAAGACGGGGGTGACCAGCCGAGCTATAGTGTCCCAGCGTTCTCTCAGAGGCCCCAGGTGGTTGGGAGACCCACGAGGAAAGAGAAGAAAGACCCATTTTCTGGAGTCATTAACCAAAGTTATGATTCAATCAAAAAGAAATGTCTGGAAGAGGGTTGTTTGTTTGAGGATCCAGAATTTGAGGCAGAAGATTCATCCATCTTTTTCAGCAGGGCACCCCCTCGTCCATTCGAATGGAAAAGACCCCATGTAAGTTTACTCCATTGGATTTTATAACTTACTTTTCAGTAGCTGTCAGTTTCTTAATTATAAATTATATCTTATTTATGCACCTGTATTTGTAGATGCAATTATAATTAACAAAAAAAGAATATAATATAAATATGCATTCTAATCTGACCCTATCCCCAGATATTTAAATCACTGAACAATCCCTTATCTGTCTTAAAAATTTGAAAAGGATAAACTTTAATGTTAATCCACCTACTCCACCCCACCCTTATGATGCCTTGTCACATTGTAAAAGTTATGTGTATCAAATGTAAACACAACTGAAGATTTCTTTCCTATTCTGTTAATCAGCCATAAACAGGAAAGACAGGCAATTCTTGTCCTAACAGTTGGTATGCCATTACACTTGTAAACAATTGTCAATACACAATCCACAGGGCTTAGATCTGCATAATTATTCTACAGCTCTAGACATTGACACTTTATAATGGAGTACAATGTAAGACACACATTATCGTCATTTCCCCCACTTATAATGCTGTTTGGATTGAAAACATCTGTCAAAGACAATACACTACTGTGAAGAGAGGATGGTTTCAGAATAGTTACAAAACTTTCTATGAAACACTCCAGTATGATGAGGTAATTCACATATACAGTCGTGTACATAGGGAGGATGAAAATTGAAATGAGTCAAGAACTTAAGTATCAGGTGGCATAATGTTTTTAAAAAATATTAACAAAAGCAAAGGCAAGGTGCTTTAAAACTTCAAGTGGGGCTTTTACCTGAATGACATTCCAGGTAGATTTTTTAAACTACCTTGGTCTTTCGAAGTTAGCAAATTCAGTGAAATTGCATAATGAACACTGATATCCAAGCCATGTATTATTTTTTACACAATGAGGAGAAAAATGAAACATCAAAATTTGTAAATAAGTAAAGATAAAAATCCTTGATACTTGTTGATAATCAGAGAAAATAAATCAGGCCTTGTATGATTCAATTAAAATCGTAACATTGTGCCTGGGGCTTTGTGTAAGAAATAAAAAAGCTGTCTGTTTACTGTCAGATAAGCCAGGAACGGAATGTGATTGAAAGACTTCATAAAAACTCCTGATACAATCATGATGCATGTGTAGAGAATGGGGAGAGATTGTCTTAATAGTTAAGTGCTTCAATGGGCACATGTTTTATTATTACAGTAGATACAAGTGATGAATTTGTAATGATCATATTTCCTGACTGATCAAACAAACTTATTTTTGTCAAAAACATTGATGATATCAATCTTAGATGAGAGTTTGGTCATCCATGTAGAAGAAAAACAAATTCCTCTGTGCACTTTTCGTGTCAGCTGAAATTTAACCATATCCCTATTCATTACAGCAGATAGGACTTTTAATATAGTGTACATGAACCTGTAGGCCTTTTAATCAAGGCTCAACATTCTTTGAGATTTAATTTAGCTCAACACATTCTTATACTAGGTAAAGTCAGTACTGTCTAACAATGAATAATATTTTCCCAAAGACTTTACAGACTAGAAAAAGTTTCTTATATAATAAACCTGAAACTTACGGTGAATCTAGTAATTCCTCCTCATTCACAAAAAGCCCAGTATGTCCGGGTAGATTGGGTATATGCCGTGTTTACCTTGTCTATTTGCTTAATCGAGTCATTGATAGGCATGATAACATTCCAAAAACCAAGATAAATATTTCATAACCATCGACATTCTGTTAACAAGCTTCAACCTGCCTACCAAAATATTAATGAACTTTAAAAGAGAACTTTGCGAGAGTCAACCACAGTGGACATTAATAAGAGAGGTGTGGTTTGTGTGTTACCGTAGGGTGATTGGAGACTTACAGAATGTCCGAGTACTATAGTTACTCTAGCAGTACATATGCATGTCACCGTGCAATCGGGGGTAGGCACTCACGACGGGAGGAAAAAGACCTGATTTCAGGCATCAGAAAACAGCATTACGACGAGGTGAAGGAACAGTGCTTAGCTGACGAGGTTTTATTTGAGGACCCCGAATTTCCCGCCGAGGATAGCTCTATTTTCTTTAGTCAGGCTCCTCCAAGGGAATTTGAATGGAAGAGACCTCATGTGAGTTAAAGTACAATGTAGGATTATACATGCACAATTATGACAAAAACATTCTGTGTGTGCAACCATTGGGTAAGCTCAGTAGGTAGAAACCCTTTGTAAGCTGGGGAACATATGACTGTCAGCTCTTACACAAGATTTCATGCTTAAATTACCCTCCGGAATCCATATTGTGGATTCTATTTTTGTGTATCATATTTTAAGAGAAGCCTCAGATAAAGACATTAGATTTAGTTTTTGGCAAATCACTGATGGTGCCAATGTTCCATGGCCTGTTGACAGTAGGTGGGGTGGGGGAGTGGAGGGCTCACATTTAATGCAGTAATTCTGTCACTGGTGTCTAATTAACTGAATGCTGAGTGGACAGTAGTCCAGTATAAATCAATATTTACCAGGTCTGTGTTGTTTACATTTCACATATGTCGGCAAATACAGTGGCATCAAAGCAGCAATAAACTTTGATCACCTTGCATGATGCATTCCGCCACAAGACCTTGCTGTGTATTGAAGTTTTTTGCCACACTGCCTTCCTACACATTGTAGTTTTTTATTTCTATTTGTTGGCAGCTATGACCTGTTATACTTGGCTCACTGATTGATTTGTTAATGGTTAAAATAATAAGATTCAATGCCTCTGCTCTATTTATATCATTGGGCTTTATATATAATCATTCCATCTGTGGAATTAAATTCTACTTCTGGTCAAATCAGCGTCAGTAATTAGTAGAAGTCATAAGAGAAAGTAAAAGCAAGTTCATCAGGCCCCAGACATCAGCTGATAGAAGGTTGGTATGACTGAGAGAGGTTCCAGTAAACCCCTGCTGATGTGTAGAAAAGGATATCTGCCAACAGACTACACATTTATCTGTTTTTTATTTACCTTGAAGATATTATCTGTACAGCCTATAATGCATACACAGTGCAAATGTTCCAGGATCCCTATTATCATCAAACAATGTCGATTCTCTTGATGTGTAATTGTTCTTTGAGGTGGTTGTGAACCCCCACCCCCCTCTTTCTGGTGACACTGGTAAAGACTTCTACTCAGGGTCCTTTGATGGGAGGGGTTGACACCCTAACATTCTTTTGATATCATTGCAGTTATTGTTTTATTTGCATTGCCGATCAGAAGTTTGAATGTATAAATTATTTATATTGTCTTGAAGATTTCAATCAGTCTTAATAAGTAATTTTTTGTTTTTTGTCGTATTATAATTTTCATGAGAATTATAGAATGCTCTAACATTCTATAGGATTTTATCCTTGCACATATCTCTTTGCAGTTTGTTCTTAACCAAGGTCATCATACACTCATGACCAAATTATGTATAAATCAGGACTTTGATAATATCTGTAATAATAATGATAAAAAATGCTGGCATTATAAGCCCTCTACAGCACCTGGGAAATGGCATCTCTTGTGTTACAAGGAAATTTTTACTTTGATTTTAAGATAGAAAGTTTCAATATAAATAACACATTTAATGTAGAATATTTGCTTTGAAGAAGGATAAATAATGCATTCCTCTTTAGCCTTTTTATCTTTTTTAAAGTGCTTTACAACAGTTTACCTACACTATACATATAAAATGTAGGATGATTTCCCACAGAGAAACTTCACTAAGTAATTCAACATTCAACCTGAGAATTTATTATTAAGGTAAAATTAAAGATAAATACAAAAGTTCCTTGCAGGCTTCACTGCACAAGAATTATTTAGAAGTACGGATTTAAAACTTGCTGACAGAACAAAATGAATTGATGTCTTATTAAAATCTGACGGATGTTTAGTATGGAAATCTGCCTTCTCTTTTATGAACCTAATCACACCATTTAAACAAAATTTTGATATTTGCCAACATTTTTTAACTTGTTACACAGTGCATGTTTTAAGAATGCGATCGTTTCTGTGTAAACAGTAAGTTTTATGTTTCTGCTTGCTTCATGCTTTTCTCTCTGCAAGAAATTTCAGTTGCAAGGATTTGCTGAATTCTTTGGGGGAGTGATAGGATGGAAACATTCCTGTATTAACTCCAGGGAGGAGAAATGTTTGGCTGTCAGTGAGTGAGCAGCTGTGAGCAGGTCTTAATTACCTCAGAGATCAGAAGTCAAAACACACTACAAACATACTGTAGACAGATCAGTTCAAAAACACAAACTAACACTCTGCCCTTTTATGAGATAAGTTTGATCTAGACTTGTGTATGTTTTTATGGTCTGTGTTAAACTTTATGCAAAGTCTGACCAAAAGAATACAAATGTGTCAGATATAATGTATCAGCTAGTTTATAAATCAGTTTAGATAGATAGTCATTAAGAAAAAGAGAAGAGGGTACATGTATTTTTCAAGATTTCTGATGATTTCTATTCTAGTTCTTGGCTTTTTTGCACATCCTCAAAGTGCTGAATGAACATTTTTTCAGCTTCCTCGATTGTTTGATTTATATAATAAAAACACAATAGACTAGCTCTTCCCCCCTGTGACATACCCGCCTACACAGAAACCCTTTTAAAAGTTATTATGCTTAACATTTTTGCAATTTTATAGACAATATGAACTTTAAGGTAGCAGTGATTTGCTAATGCCTCAAACACCATTCTCTGATATCTTGCACAAACAGTGCAGTTTACAATTTATTCTTATTTTTTGTCAAAGGGGTGGTGGGGAGTGGGTAGGTCAGTCTCACTTTACACAATAATACCTTAGTATAACTGTATTAGCTAGGGTGCAGTATAGAGAGGGTCCTTAAAATGAGATTGTTAAGAATGTTAAAGAAATCAAATGTAAATGTGTTTTGTGTTTTTTACAGGAGATTTGTGACAACCCAGTCTTTATTTCGGACGGAGCCAGTCGATTTGATGTTCAGCAGGGAGAGCTAGGTATAACATGTTTATAAGCAATTCATTATCACTTAGCTGTAGAGCTGTAGCTCTCTGCTTGAGAAAATTCGGACAAATAAAGAAGAGAGCAGCTGAGCTACAGGTCCATGCATTGTATTATTCGATTTACACCACCATACAATACCTGAAGTGAGCAACAAAAAATTGAAGGTTTTTAAAATGCATGGATCTGTAGCTCTCTGCTTTATTTGTCTGAATTTTCTGAAGCAGAGATCCACAGTTCTGTTGCCGCACTGTCACCATACATACTGCAGGGATAGGGAAAACTTCAAAATGTCTTTAAGATTGTATCTATGATGCATGGGCTTTTGCTCTTTTACCAGTACGTTTAAAGTTAAACATTCTGACAAACTTGACCTCAGTACAGATGAGGGTAAGGGAGTAACACTGTTATGACTTTGCCCCCATGAAAATATTTATAAGTAGGAATTTTACATGACAGTAATGTCTGATGTCTGGAAGAAACAAATTTATCTGTCTATTGTGGCTTACTCATACAGCTGTATGATGCTGAAGACTGCACTGTTATACTGAAAGATGTGTTCATGTGTGTGTCAGGGTGAAATGTTACTTTAACTGTACCAAATAAACCCTCCTACATATTTTTATCCCTTCCTTAATCAGCTGTAGAAGTGTGTGTGTGATGAGTGATTTCCTCACTGGTGTCACTGTTTATTCATACTTCTAGTATAAGGTTTACATTGTCACATCCAAGTAACTAAAAATACATTGTGTATACTGTATACAGGGTGTTATATTTTCTCTCCTGTTATTTTTCACACTTTTGCACATGTCAAAAATTTTGCCATGCTTAAAATTTGCCCATCAAAGTATTTGTTTAAAAAATTGTACCGTATTCTTTGAATTCGCCCCGTTTTAAATTCGCCCAAACAAGGATATGACGAAAGGGACGAAAATAAAACAGGTGAAATTTTCCCTGTATACAGTAGTAAGATTGTATAGACTAATGATTTTTTTGTCAGTCTATTAGTTTGGCTGTCCATAGCTATAACCTTGTACTACATTTTTGAAGTGTATGAATTATTTAGTAATTGTGTCAATGTGTGTGTCTAATTGCCGGTCAAAATGTTAAAAGCCAAAGAAAAAAAAAACTGCAAATCAAAGAACTTGTTACCTCCGTTACTATTTTACATCTACTTAAAATTTCAGTCTCTAATGTTTCTTTACAGGTGACTGCTGGCTATTGGCTGCCGTGGCCTCTCTGACTGTGAACCAGCGTCTCTTTGCTAAGGTGGTTCCGCCGGATCAGACATTCCAGGATGGGTACTGCGGAATGTTCCGCTTCCACTTCTGGAGACAGGGAGAGTGGGTGGAGGTGGTCGTGGATGACCGACTGCCAACTTACTATGGGCAGTTGACCTTCATGCACTCTTTGGACAAGAATGAATTCTGGAGTGCACTGCTAGAGAAAGCTTATGCCAAGTACGTCAGACATTTTATGGCTTTATGAGTACCACCTTTATGAAATGTCTCAGGAAATTTTGATTAAGGAAACATATTCCACTACACATAGAAAATTCACTGAGCATGAACAGTTTTTTTGCATATCTTTGAAATAATTTTTTTTTTAAGTTGATTTGCTTAAATTAAGAATCTATTATCATTATAAAAATAAAGTATGTACATTTGCTTCACTCATCAGGGTATCTCTACTCTCTACACTGTGCGAGAAATATTTGATCTTGTTCTTTGTCGAACACCTTTTATTTATTTTTTTTTTACATCTAGAGAAATGGCAGGTAGATTTAGAGTTGTACTGTATGTTGTAGGTTGGAGGTAGATTTAGAGCTGTACTGTATTTTGTAGGTTGGAGGGCTCCTATGAATCCCTGAGATTTAGAGTTGTACTGTATATTGTAGGTTGGAGGTAGATTTAGAGTTGTACTGTATTTTGTAGGTTGGAGGTAGATTTAGAGTTGTACTGTATTTTGTAGGTTGGAGGTAGATTTAGAGTTGTACTGTATTTTGTAGGTTGGAGGTAGATTTTGAGTTGTACTGTATTTTGTAGGTTGGAGGTAGATTTAGAGTTGTACTGTATTTCTAGGTTGGAGGTCTCCTATGAATCCCTGAGATTTAGAGTTGTACTGTATGTTGTAGGTTGGAGGTAGATTTAGAGTTGTACTGTATTTTGTAGGTTGGAGGTAGATTTAGAGTTGTACTGTATTTCTAGGTTGGAGGTAGATTTAGAGTTGTACTGTATTTTGTAGGTTGGAGGTAGATTTAGAGCTGTACTGTATTTTGTAGGTTGGAGGTAGATTTAGAGTTGTACTGTATTTCTAGGTTGGAGGTAGATTTAGAGTTGTACTGTATTTTGTAGGTTGGAGGTAGATTTAGAGTTGTACTGTATTTTGTAAGTTGGAGGTAGATTTAGAGTTGTACTGTATTTTGTAGTTTGGAGGGCTCCTATGAATCCCTGAGATTTAGAGCTGTACTGTATTTTGTAGGTTGGAGGGCTCCTATGAATCCCTGAAATTTAGAGTTGTACTGTATTTTGTAGGTTGGAGGGTTCCTATGAATCCCTGAGATTTAGAGCTGTACTGTATTTTCTAGGTTGGAGGACTCCTATGAATCCCTGAGATTTAGAGCTGTACTGTATTTTCTAGGTTGGAGGTAGATTTAGAGTTGTACTGTATTTTGTAGGTTGGAGGGCTCCTATGAATCCCTGAAGGGAGGCAGCACCTGTGAGGCAATGGTGGACTTTACTGGTGGTGTCTCAGAATTCTTCGATCTCCGTAAAGCTCCTCCCAACATGTTCAGCATCATGTTAAAGGCCAGCCAACGGGGCTCTCTGATGGGCTGCTCTATTGACGTAAGAAAAACATAAAAAGGGGTCAAGTTTTATAGATATAACACGAAATATTTATTTGGAAACTTTGAATTGCATTCAGTAAATGGATACATACCAGCCCTGTGCTTGACAGAATCAACATTGTTAACTAGTAGGTTTCAGTGAATATCATCATTTGATAAATGCCTATAATGCTTGGTAAAACATGATTTTTCTGTTACAGGCTGATCCCAATCAGTTAGAAGCTCACCTGGCCAATGGACTCGTTATGGGTCATGCCTACAGTATAACATCTGTCCTACTGGTAAACACAAACCTTAAATTCACACATCTATTACTTTAGTGAGCTTGTTGGGTCCTGTAAATGTAAAATTTAAATACTTATTAATCATATTTCACACTGTTTGATGTAGAATTCTGGATTTGTTTTTGTTATTATAGATACTGAAAAACTTTTGGTCTGTAAGTGTTCTTTTAGTTGTTCACCACATTTGACTTTTAGATGGATATAGAGACCCCCAGCATGTCTGGTAAGATCCCCATGGTCAGAATCCGGAATCCCTGGGGTAATGAGGCAGAGTGGAAAGGCAGATGGAGTGATCAGTAAGTAAAAAGCAGAGGGACGGGTACTGATTTCTGATGTGTCACACATTCTGTTCTTATGTGTACAACCAAAAAAAATTACAAAACAACAGCATACCTACAAAATATAAAGAAATTGAAGGAAATTATGACGGTTAAACTCCTTTACACAGAAAGATGATTGATTTTCTCTTTACCTGCCTGAGTGTATAGTGAGTTCTAGGGAGGATCTTTCTGTTTGTCAGGTCTCGGGAGTGGTCATTAATTCCGGATTCACAGAAGGCAGAAATGGGTCTGACTTTTGACGATGACGGAGAGTTCTGGATGTCTTTCGATGACTTCTCTAAGAATTTTGAGAAGTTGGAGATCTGTAACCTTGGTCCAGACTCACTGGAGGAGGATGAATTGGACGGGAAGAAACGCTGGGAGGGGCACACAGAAAATGGGGAGTGGATTCCGAGAGTAAACGCAGGTGGATGTAGAAATTATCTAGGTAAGTCAAGATCAGGAGACAAGTTTTTACCAGTCAAATTCAAGTTACTAGTGTGCAATCTTTGTTATGTAGATGTTTAGTATCATATTGAAAAATGGCTGTAGAAAAGAAATATTTTTGTGCATTAGTGTGTTGAAAGCTTCCTCTTGAATTTGTTTGATTTTTAACTAAGGGGGATAATCAGTTATACAGAAGGAAGCAAGCAATTTAAGCAACAGGAAACTCAATAAAGGCCTGCTTGTAGATTAAAAGACTAAGAGCAACTTTTTTTCACTCGAAAGGTTATTGATGAAAAGATGGTATGTAACCTCCTTAAGGAAGGTCTTAATGGCAAGTCAGAAGTTTCCTGTTAAAAGCACATTATTTTTCTGTTGTAAGGAAGACTAGATAACATAAGTATACACTGAAATCTTATCTATACATACCACCCCATGTACTTCCTTTGAGCCCCAGAAGCTCATGAGAGATTTTCTGATCAAACTTTGTGCGGCATGTGTACAAGTATGGTTGTAAATTATAATGTACATGTGTTTGTATTTATTTGTATTCAATGACCAATATATGAACACAAGAGCTGCAGATCCAGGTAAACAGACTTCAGTGAGGACCGAGGGTCATTTTTTATACAGTGCAGAATCAAAATTCTTGAAATCATACGCCATAGGGTTTGTACTATACATGTACCCAATAGGAGTGAAAAGATTTACATTAAAATGTATGTTGAATTCTACAAGACTGAAACTCTTTAAAAGAAGAAATGAGTTAGTTTGATTTTAAAATATGCTCTGGAACATGATTCCAGTTTATGTTGAAGCCCCCCCCCCCTCCCCTCCTTCTTCAGATTCAAACTTAAACAAGTAGGAATGAGATAAATTTTCTAAAGAATGTCAGTGGATGTATGCAATAATAAAGGTTGACTAACTATAGAAGCTTTGTGTTCATATCAGAACAGAGTACAGTGAATCATAGGTGAGCAGAGTGGCCAAGGCCTCTATGTATTTCTTGCATGTCTCTAATTAGGAAACCTTAATAATGAAATATACCATCATTAAAATACTGGATATTATTTGAATCATATTGCGTTTTACTTTATTTGAACTATTCATTTTGTACAGATACTTTCTGGACCAATCCCCAGTATCGTGTGACCTTGACCGACCCTGATGATGATGATGACGATGACCTTTGCACTATGCTGGTGGGTGTCCTTCAGAAGGATAGGAGAAAAAAGCGAAAAGAAGGACTGGATATGTTAACCATAGGATATGTCATTTATAAGGTATGATTATAGGATATATCCATTGACATACTTTAGAAAATATGTTTGCATAACTGATGGAACAGCCATTGTTCAAGAAATCTATGCAGTTGGCTTGCTTAGTGTCATTTTTGGCCTGATTAACTGCATTAGTATTCATAAGAAATAAAGGAAATAATATTCAGTTAATGTAAATATAAGGTATTGACAAAAGAATATGTCATTTATAAAGTAGTGACAATAGGATATATCCTTTATAAAGTACCTGGTATTGTCCTAAGGATATGTCATTTATAAAGTATGTCCTTTGTAAGGTATGGACCATAGGATATTTAAGGATTAAGGTACTGACCATATGATACATGTTTGTAATTTCTAAGGTATCAACCATATAGGATATGGGTTTAATGCACTTGTCATAAGATGTGTAATTTATAAAGTACACATTCAGAATGAGTCTATTGGGGAATAATTTGTGTCAAATGGAAACAGTGTAAACAGTGGAATGATTATTTCTTTGAAGTTACGATAAATCATCAGTGTGTAGATTGGGAAATTACTATGACATATTTTAATTTACCTCTGTTACAGATATGGCAGTAACTAAATGCTGATCATAAGATATACATGTTACATATTTCAGGAAGTTTGCAGTATGCAGTCAATGGGGAGACAACCCGCCAAGATTTCCTCCACTTTATCTTTGATACAGATTCATGAGCATGTTTGAATTATTTTGTAGTTGGACGATGAAAATCATGGCCCTCTTGATCTTAAATTCTTCAAATATCATGCCTCTTGTGCTAAATCTCCATCCTTTATAAATCTACGAGAAATTTGTGGACGACACAAGATGTCCCCAGGGACATACGTTATTATACCCTCCACTTTTGAACCTCACCACAAAGGAGAGTACTTACTGAGGATCTTCACAGAGAAAGCTAATCAGACAGCGTGAGCATCTACTTCTGTTAGCTGTAGTCCTAGCTTTGTGTGACTACTGTTAGCTGTAGTCCTAGCTTTATCTGTCTAGTGTTAGCTGTAGTCTTAGCTTTTGTGTGACTGTTGTTAGCTGTAGTCCTAGCTTTATCTGTCTAGTGTTAGCTGTAGTCCTAACTTTGTCTGTCTAGTGTTAGCTATTACAGTAGTCTTAGTTTTGTCTGTTTAGTGTTACTTTTAGCATCTGGCTTTGTCTGCCTGACTAGTGTTAGTTTTGCGCATCTGGCTTTAGCCTTTCCAGTGTTTGTTTTAGCATTTGGCTTTTGCCTGTCTAGTGTTAGCTGTAGTCCTAGCTTTGCCTGTCAAGTTTTAGCATCTGGCTTTTGCCTGACTAGTGTTTATCTTAGCGTTGGACTTCTGTCTGTCTTCCTAGATTATTTTTAGCTCCTCTGTCCAGTGTTAAACTTGGTATCTAGCTTCTTTCTATTTCATTCTATTGAAATGTTGTCCCGATTCATGTATGTATTACTGAGAAGTTTCGCTTATGCTGTGGTGGATTGATGTTAAGAACACAATCTTCAGTTTCTTTACAGCAAAGCACATCTGGAAAGTAAAAAATAAAGTTTTAAAAAAAAATAAAAAGTGCAGAATTTATCTGTTTGAAGTATTGAAATAGTGTTAGTACATTAATGTTTGTTGATTGTGTTCTTATCATCAATTCACTGACAGGTAAATTTAGTTTGTTGTTTGACATCTTTATAATACAGGTGCTGGCAGAACTAATGTTCTCAGTAATACTCCAAGTACTGAGATAATCATATACAGGTATAAATAGCCTAGAAATAATATAAATATTTTGACATCAATTAAACATCAGCCAAAACTCCCTGTAGATACCAGAAGGAACGGGGGAGGGGCCACTACCTCTGGATTTTTTTAAGTACAATGCCTCGTGTGCCAAGTCTAATAACTTTATCAACATGCGAGAGGTTTGTACGCGACACAAGCTCTCCCCGGGGCAGTACTGTATAATACCCTCAACATTCGAGCCTCATCATGCTGGGAATTACCTTCTGAGACTTTACACAGAGAGAAAGTCTCATACTCAGTGAGATTATAGCATGAACACAACATATCCCAGCAGTCCATTCTCTGACTGAATGAGGCCTTCACAGCATGCTTTCTGTAATCAAATTTACCTACACTACCTATAGATCTTCAAATTATTAAATAATATCAATGGGTTTTCCGTTATACCTGTACACACTTGCAAGGAAAATTTTATAAATAAAGGGAAGTAACTACAGCAATACTTAATTTTCCATTCTGATTGTATGAATACCTGTATAATACACCCCATCATCCCTTGCTATTTAATGAGGGCAACTTTCACTCAGAGGTTACCTTTCTTTTTAAAATGGATATTACTGAAGTTATATTTTGCTCTATTCAATACACAGGCATGATCTGTAGCCCTTAGTTTCTGTTTTTGCATTCATAGCAAGTCTTGTTTGTAGCATCTTTAATATATTTTTGTAAAGTGTGTGATTAATAAAATAGAAATGAGATCTGAACAGAAAATTTTAAAGCATATTTATTGTTTCCTGAAATTCAATGTTTTCTTTTTAAAAAAAATAAAAGAAAAATACATGTATTTTTTTTAAAAAATCTTACTTATAATTATTCATTTTGAAAATTAAAAACATAATTTGTTATTGTTTTATGTTTGAAATTTCAGAGAAATGGATGAAGAGACAGGAATAATTGAAGATCAGGTAAAATTTAATTATTTATATACGACATGTACTTCTCATTCAGTCTTACAATAAATGCTGTTAGATTTGTCCATGGCTAATTAAGATTTGTTGTATGTAGGCTCCATCCCCATTAAGTGACTGTATACTGTATATACATGTGTCTTGTACATATTGTATTTCTGTTTTGTTGTTGAATATCAAATGTTTGTGATGATAAATCAGCGTACTTTTACAAGGACAAAGTGCTGAGACTTCTATTTTCACATGCCAGAACAAACCTGAATTCTGTTGAGTAATGATTTTAATAGCTACCCACGTTATTCTGTATGACCAGGGTTAAGACAGTTTACACATTCAAAACTAAAAGCGATTTATTAAAATAAAAAACGTAGTCTTTACCAAACCAGGATATTCAAGAACATGTATAAGTTAAGTATTTTATAATTTAATTGTCTAGCATGTATTGTATAAAAGCTATTTCCCGTCAAAAAGGACATCTTATTTTTGAAATGCAATATAAATTGGATTAATACTTTTTGAAATGAAAACCATCCTTTTTATAATGTGACATTGGCAACACAGGTTAAACAAAAGGATTTTTTTTCAGCTTATCAAATAACACGTTACAACTAGATTTAAAAGTTATTATACCCCCCGCAAACGAAGTTTAGGGGGGGTATATTGGAATCACCATGTCCGTCTGTCCGTCTGTCCGTCTGTCTGTCTGTCTGTCTGTCTGTCTGTAGACGAGATTTTGTCCGGATCATTACTCAGAAACTATTGGAAGGATTTGTCTGAAAATTTGTACACATATTATTCACCATATGAAGTTGTGCACCTGATATTTTCATCTTGATTCGATTATTATTTTGAATTTTACAGGTGTTTTTTCATTTTTATTTTGTGGTTTTGTCCGGACCGTTTCTCAGAAACTATTGCAAGGATTAATCTGAAAATTTGTACACTTATTATTCACCATATGAAGGTGTGCACATGGAATTTTCAACTCTTTTTGTTAATTTTTTTGCATTTTACAGGTTTTATTTTTTATTTTAATTGACTAGTTCATTTTGGGCTCATGTATAAGGTTTGAGATATAGAATCTAGAATATCTGTTCAAAAATGCTACAGCTTAAAACTACTCATAAAAACTTAAAAAAAAGAAACATCATCAAGTGTTAAAAACAGTTTTTACATTGCACAGAAGATAATGTAATTTCATTTGTCTCTTGGGAATAATGACTGGACATGCATCCAGTTAAAGATAAATTAATGAGTTTGGTGTTGGAAGTTGTTAAGGCATATCTCTTATCAAGCGTGTGTGTGTTATCTAATCTCCAGGGAATAAGGCACAAGAATTAAAGATCTCTCTTCTCTTATTCTCTTAATTGTAATTTATTGTCTGTCAAAGCACTTCATTACTGGATGACCAGCTCTTTATTTTCAAAATGCATTTCAAATTGATATATCAAGATTAATTTGATTTTGTATAATGTTTTTTTTTTTAACAATCAGTTTGCAGAGTGACATAACACATAATTGCAATTTATTTTTTTAATGCAGAAATAAAAAAAAATAAAATGAAAAAATAAAAAAAATTGTTACAATGGAATTACAATGTATTAGTATTGATGTTTCATTTGGTTGCACCTTTGTTTCATTCATTAAGAAACATGATGAGCAATTATATTTCACTGCAAATTTTTGTAAGTAAATTGTGAACACCTCTAGATCCATAAAGTATTTTTGAATTGGCACCTTCTCTGAAAAACCCAGCGGGGGGTATTTGTCCCTATTGGACAGTTCTAGTTTTATTTATCATTGCACTGTTTTAAAAAGAAGCATTTTCAGATGATGCCTTAAAAAGTTATCCATCAAATTTCAAGTTAGAAATATTAAGATTTTTAGGATATTAAATTATTTTAACAGGAAAATTTCTGTAATTGTGTACATTTTTTTTTTCAAAAAGGTTTGTACATAAACCAACGCTCATATATGTATTTAAGAAACTAACTTATTCAACAACACACAAAACTCCACCTTTTCATTGGACCATTTTTGTAAAAAAAAAAAATCTTCTGCAAACTGACATTATATGTTTCTACTTTTATGTGATGTGTAATAGGGACCACATCCAAGCTTGAGGGTTATAGGCGTATACAATGTTGTAAATCGTCGAGTTTACAATGCTCGTGTAAGTTACACCATCTGAGTTCTCTCGGCGCGTGAATCGTGATCAGCTGTTGATCTCTGTGCAATCCGTGGATTGTATTGATGCTTTAGAGGGATATACAGAAATATCCCCAATGGTTTTACCAGCAAGAGTTTTTGGTACATTGATTTTAAAGAGATCAGTGCAGTGTGATGTTCTCTTTATGTTTACATGTAATATGTTATTGTTTGTGTGTCTGTATGTATCCTACAGCATTAATTCAAATTTCTTGCTAAGTTATGGAGGTTGAGTTACAGATTCTGCCAGCATGAGAAAATTTTCCAAGACCTCTGTTGAAGTGAACAAGGTTGATGTGGGAGTTGTAATTTCTATCATTGGCTGCCAAAAATGAAGGACTTTGCCTATGAAATAAGTTATGAGTTTTTGTGGCTGTTTGCCGGAAAAAGTACAAAACAAGCTTGTTTGGAAAATTGCTATGCTTGTTAGTTCCTATTTTTGTTTTATTTACTAATCCATGTAGTATGTAATTGGAGTACTTATAGGCAAGAAAGAAAAAAAAGCACCTAGTTTACACAATTTTCTTAGATAGAATGATACTCTACACTTATATTTAACCTGTTTAAAATAATATACTAGTTCGGTTGAATTACTATTTTTATTTGAGTTTTGGGTTGAATTTGAATGTTGATTTAAATAAAAATATGTTTCAAAGTAAGTATAAGTTGTATATTGCTTTTCATTTTGATTTCATTTGATAAAGGACATGGATTTACAATAAACATAAAGCTAATACTTTTCACTTGACCTCATCAGATTCAGTTGTAACATTTCCTGATGCTTTCTATTTACCAGCAAAGTGGGGATTATATGCAACCTGTACTAGTCCCCGCAGTAGCTAGTGCCCCACCCTCTTTGGGGAGGCAGGTAGTAATGCATGCTCAAGTGTGACTTCAGTCCTACCCATTTTCATTGAAACCAAGTTTTGAAGTTTACATTGTAGGAAAATAGAATTTCTTTTCTTCGTATTGATTGTTTTTCCATAGGACTGAAAATTTTAAGTACTATATAGGGAATAGAATTTGCAGGTGTTTGTCTGCATCTCTGTAGCTCACTGAAAAAATACATTGACAGGCAGGACTGAAGAGCTGCAGATCTGCAGCTAGCAGACTCACACCTTAAGTACCTTAATTATTTCTGATATACAGGGAAACTTGTCTAAACTGGATATTGGATTATACAGAATCCTTTATACAGTGTAAACTTAAAGTCCTTGCAGTAAATCAATTTGTATAAAGTGTTTGATCCAGAATACATTTATTGCCTTATTTGGACTATTGCCATATTTGGACCATTGCCTTATTTGGACTATTGCCTTATTTGGACTATTTCTTTGGAACAGTGGTGTCTGGATTAAACAAATCCAAAAAAAAAAAAAAAAGATCCAGTAATGTGGAATATAATGATTTACATTCATGATATCTCAAATGGCTGCTCTACATGTATCGTATCTGAAAATTGTAACATCACATTAAATAAGATTGATATTCTGAATATTATCCAGCCTCCCACTACACAGTATAACTGTTTCTCTGCCATGTGTTACTAGATCAGAATAAATGTCTGTCTTGAAAGCATGTTTTCAAAGATAAATTTAAAGTAGACATTTTTAAGCATGCCTGAAGATAATCTACCAGGTGTGGAAATTCTTTCTCCCCCTCCCCCTTCCTCAGTGAAATATATTTGATTCTGTACCCAATAAAGAAAGTTTCTTTGCCTTCAGTGTTTGAAGATGAATGTCAAGTTTGAAGACATTTGACATATGTTAGATTAAGTTTATCACAGTGTGAGAGTATCATTGTGACAAATTCTTCAAATTAAGGATGGACTGCATTGAATTGTATCTATTTCATTGTAAACTTTATAGTAAATTACATGTGATTCTTGTTATAGTTGTATGTTTAAAACTGATGGATAATGATGTAATCTTAAATTTTTAAAAGTCTTATTGCTTGTTGCTTTACAAAAGGCTATTTACTATTAATGATTGTTTTCAACAGTGTAAATATTGATTATATTTGATTTCTTTGGTTATTGAAGCAAGCTGTGTGTTATGTATGTGTCTTTCAATGTTTATGTTTTGTCTTTCAAACTGCCAGGAGATCCGTAAAATCCCAGCCGCTAGAGTAAGTCACTCCCTCAGAGTGCTCCATACCAAGTTTGGTGTTGATCTGTCACATAATTTTATCTTCACTTTGTAACACTATATTTTGTCAAAATTTTAAATAGTTTCCCCTTTACATGTTTCTTAATCTCTTTCTTGTTGATTTTAATTTTTGAGTTCATTGTTAACAACACTGTGAATAAAAGAGAGAATTGTGTGACAGTGTGATGAGATGACAAGAATTTTATGAACATGAGATGTTTTTGAATTTGTTCATGTTGTCCTGTATATTATATTGATGATATATTCAGTGTATATATGTACCTTGGGTGCAGAGGGTGTATTTCCGCATGTTTGTGTAGAATTCTGAATGAGCGTTACCCCTGATACAGTAACAAGTAGATGAATGACCAATTCCAGGTTATTTTCCCCAGTAGCATGAATATTAAAATTACTGATGAAAACATGCCTTTAAGGCAACTCTGTGCATTTATTAGAGTATAGAAATGACCATTTATTAGAATATAGACAGCAAAGTAACAAAGTAGATATGAGCTTTAACATACAATTTTCTTTGATCAGTATAGATAAGATTTGATTCCTTTTTACAGTCAATGAAAGTGATCCCTACAAAATCTGCGGTCAGTTGACATTATCCTGAGACACTGGCTGACATAAAAACATGAATGCTTGTAATAATGCTTACCTTTACTTCATTTGTTTTGTTTTTGGTAAAAGGGGACAAAACCTAAACCCAAGCCTTCCAGTAGAACACAGCAAGTGTTGGGGGAAAAAATCAGTCCACCACCAGATATTAACTTCACTCGCCCAGAAGCACTTGAATTCCTAACTAAAGCACTGAGAGTAAACTCATTTAATGGCTAGAAAAATCTTATATCTGCCTCAAACTTCACTTGAATTCCTAGCTAAAGCACTGAAAGTAAACTCATTTGATGGCTAGAAAAATCTTATATCTACCTCAAACTTCACCTGTCTTTCAGCGCTTGAATTCCTAACTAAACCTTGGAGATTTAACTCATTTAAACTCAAACTTCACTTGTCCTAAAGTGCTTGATTTCTACAAAACTCTGACTTTATTTTTTACTAGTCAATCTTTCATATTCAGCCAGATTTGATAAAGCATGCCATTTTGAACTTATTATAAGTAGTGAATTTCATCTGAAACTACAAAATAGATGTATGTGGAGTAAACTCTCCAATTTTTTTTATTCCTTCTTAGTTCCTATAGCCATAAGGTATTGGAAGGTTGGAATTTTTTTTTAAACTTGTGAAAACTGTATTTATACTTTCTCCAGTTTCAATTACTTTATTTGGGTAGTTATAATTACTGGTCAGAACAGATAACAACCAGACAGAAAAAAACTGACTTGAATGATAAATCTGATACGATTTGTCATGATGCTAGCTACTTAAGGATTGGGCATATTATTTTCTAGCATTAATGCTAGCAATTGTTCTAACCCTCTGCTAGCTATAGTTAAGAAATTTTGTCTGTCAGAATGATATAATATATAAAAATTATATAATGTATTGAAGGCAGCACATTTATGCCAATCAAAAATTGTAATTTCCGAGATAGTTTATTTGACTTGAAATAAATACATCTGTACTAATTTTACTGAGGCATGGTTGACATAGTCTTGTTTTATACATGTATGATTTACATGTATTTTTATATGTTATATGTTAGTATCTGGACAATTCTTTTGTCTTCTTTGTCATGTGATGTTATGTAAGATATATGTCTTATTCTGAATGCAGTTTTCTATTGTTCATGTCTTGGTTGAGAATGCATGTTTGAGTAACAAAAATTTGCAAATACATTTCTTTTTATAATTTTATTTGTTAACATTTTAAGTTCAAAATTTATTTTTATCTGTTTAGCTTTATTTTTAAAAGTAAACCAGTTAAATTTAGATCTAACAGTAGAATTTTATTTTTCAACTTATTTTTGTTCAAACTTTCTCAGCTCAATGTATTTAAGGTAATAGCATTATAAAGCAGTGTTAAGTTGACCTCATCATTTTAACAATTTCGTCAATAATTATGATGCAACAGTATTGTTTGTTTCACCACTGAATATAACAGGAAAAATTGTGAGAATTATTTATTGCACAGATATGTTCTGCAACTTTTTCTGTCACATACCTTTTGAACCTTTGCCTTTTTGGTTGAATTTTACATACAAAGTGGCCCCATCACAAGTATTTCTGTTATTGTTAAACAAGCAAGGTCATTCTGCACTGCCTTAAAGTAGTAGAAAGTATTAACCTTTTATGTTAGCTTTTACTGTACAATGGCTTTGAATAACCGAGAATGAAATATCCCATTTCTATTTTTATCCAGGAAATCCCTCCCCCCACGGAGGAGGAACAGGAGCAGGAACAGGCTCTGAAGAGCAGCTTCCGCCGCGTCGCAGGCGACGACCTGGAAATCGACGCCTACGAACTCAAGGACATCCTAAACGCCGTGTTTACCAGAGGTAATTATACAGTCCACATTCCTAAGAGAATTCATTAAAAATCTATTCTATTTAAATAATTTGTATCCAAACTTGAAAGGTTGTTATTTTTATACTGAATGAAATTTTATTTATTTTACGTTTCAAGATTCGAAGCATTTAATTTGTCTCCTCAAAATATTGATTACAATGAGATATTTGATATTATTATAAATAAATGGACATACTGAATTAACAATAATTGAATTCCTTCAAAGAGGGAAATGTTGGTAAGACTCTGCACTGTATAAGGCCACATGTATTCTGCATATTACTGTAAATGGTACACTACAACACTGATATAAGTGTTAACATGCAGTAAAATATAAGAAAACATTATTTACATGTACTTGTCTAACTTATAAATGCATGAGATTATTTTTGCATGGTCTGTTATTGCACAAAGTATTGAAGGAATGGAGAAATAAAATGTTATGTAGGACTCTGTGTTAACTTTTATAAAATTACAGAAAGCAAACATGAGCCCCATCCCCCAAAAATCTATTCTCTGGGTCAGATCAATGTCTTAAGAAATAAGGAAAACCAAAATTTTGCTAACTTATGAAATAATGATAGCAGCCAATATGGACAACATAATTTAGTAAAGGCCATATATCTTTATGATGCCTCAAGGTGAAGCAAAATCCACAAATTTAGCATCGGCAAACCTGAACTGCAAGACCAATCCTTGAGTACCATTGTGGTCATTCAGTCAATTTTAATTCAATTTATTGAAAATCTATTCTATTTGAATAATTTATATCCATACTTAAAATGTTGTTATTTTTATACTAATGAAATTTCATTTGTTTTACGTTTAAGATGCTAAGCATTTATGGAACTGTAACTTTTGCATGTTGTAGAGCAGAAAAATTTGATAAGTACAATACAACCATGTAATCCATAACTGTTGTATATATATATATTGAAAGTAAATGTATGTAATAAGGTTCAGATTTAAAACTTAATCATGATACTCTCGTCTTTTTGATCGTTCACCTCATATGTTAACTGTTGGTTTAATTATTAACTAGAATATTAATAATCCATCATTCTGTTTACTAGCATGCTGAATAAAATCTGCCAACAGGCATACTTGTAGATAATATTTGTAGATGTCTGCAAATGTTGCTAGACTGTGAGAGCATGTATATATAATTGTGTTGAATACTTTACTGATTTAGAGTAAGATTGCATATTGACACCATCTTGTTCATTGTAGAGTTTTCCTTTGATGGCTTCTCCTTAGAAACATGCAGAAGTATGGTGGCCATGCACGATGTATCCTTTCCAACTTAACATATTTTATTATATATTTAAAACATAGGAAATCATAAAAAAAATAAATCTTGATGCTTGTATGGCAAACAATGAATTACTTGGCAATAAGAATGAATTTGTTCATAAAGTAACAAACAAATAATTATCAACTTTAACTGATCTAAGGGAGATCTCTCAGGAAAGTTGGGATTTGATGAATTCAAAGTTCTCTGGGCCGACTTAAGAAGATGGAAGGTAGGACTTCAAATCTGGATCAGAATTAAAGAATCTCACATTCAGTAGGTAGTAACCTGTATAGAAATGTTTTAATTTGTTGTATGTATTTAATTTGTAGGGGGTATTTAAGGAGTATGACAGAGACAAGAGTGGAAAACTTAGTTCCTACGAGCTGAGATCTGCTTTACATGCCAGTGGTACGTATCGTACATAACTAAGTTCTTACAAGCTGTTATCCATCATAACTAAGTTCTTACAAGCTGTTATCCATCATAACTAAGTTCTTACAAGCTGTTATCCATCATAACTAAGTTCCTATAAACTGTTATCAAATATAACTAAGTTCCTAAAAGTTGTTATCCTACATAACTAAGTTGCTACGAGCTGAAATCGGCCTTAAATGCCAGTGGTAAATCTCCAACATAACTAAGTTCTTACAAGCTGTTATCAGATATAACTAACAAGCTGTTATCCAACATTACTAAGTGCTTACAAGCTGGTATCCAACATAACTAAGTTTTTACAAGCTGGTATTCAACATAATTGAGTTATAAAAAGCTGGTATCCAACATAACTAAGTTCTTACAAGCTGGTATCCATCATAACTAAGTTCTTACAAGTTGTTATTCAACATAACTAAGTTCTTACAAGTTGTTTTCCACCATAACTAAGGTCTTACAAGCTGTTATCCAACATAACTAAGTTCTTACAAGATGGTATCCAACATAACTAAGTTCTTACAAGATGGTATCCAACATAACTAAGTTCTTACAAGATGGTATCCAACATAACTAAGTTCTTACAAGCTGGTATCCAACATAACTAAGTTCTTACAAGTTGTTTTCCAACATAACTAAGGTCTTACAAGCTGGTATCCATCATAACTAAGGTCTTACAAGATGGTACTCTACATAACTAAGTTCCTATGAGCTGAGATAGGCTCTACATGCTAGTGCTAGGTTAATTTTTTTTAAAATTAAATAGAGCATTTTACTGAGTGTTCATCTGTTATAAAGAGAATTCTCCTCTTAAGCTACATTCCTTGTCAGAGATTATTTTGCCTGGTCACAGATTGGTTTCCTTTGTTTTACCTTGATTTACCTCTATTTTACCTTGTTTTATCTGTGTTACCTGTCTTGTTAACCAGGTGTATATTTACCTGTGTTTTAATTAGGTTTCCGCCTGAGTAACAGGACATTCAGTGCTCTGGTAATGAGGTACAGCAGCAAGGATGGCCAGATTGAGTTTGGAGACTTCATTCTCTGTGCCATTAGAATGAAGACCATGCTTGGTAAGGATATTAATTATTTACCCAACTGTATTTCACTCAACATGCCCCACCATGAACATAGCCAGGGGCATACAGTGTTTGTCCTGTCCTTCTTCTGTCCTTCCATCTTTCTTTGCATTTAGCTCAGTTCAAAGCTCAGTTTCAAAGAAACTATTCAAGATATTTTTAAGAAAGTTCATATGCTGATAGATATTGATGAGAGCTGTGCAACTGAATCAGCATTTTTGACTGTGACCTTTCATTTGACCTTTACCTCACTTTTCTTTAATTAGTTTTTAGCTCGGTTTTAAAGATACCATTCAAGATGGTGTAATCAAACTTTATATTTTCATACATAATGATGTAAGCTTTTCATCTGCATCAACATTTAATGACCTTGACTTTTCTTTTGACCTTGACCTCATCTTTCTTAAATGAGTGTTTAGCTCATTTAAAAAAAAACATTTAAGATAGTGTAATTAAAATTCATGTGTTGATACTGATTTAGTTTTATTTTTTATTGATAGGAAAACTTCATGAAGTTTAAATATTTTTCTTTCTTTTTCTGTTGCATTAACATATCTATGTGTGTATATTTATAGCCTCTTTCAAGAACATTGATGTGGAAAATTCTGGACATGCAGCCTTTGATCTGGATGGAGTAAGTAAACCTGGAAGTCATTCCAAAAATAACTGCTCATTTACAGTTTTAATTTTATCAATGGACCAAAAAATATCTCTATTGGAAAATATAAACTATTTCTAATAATAATAAAAACAAATAAATACTGATGCATCAGAACGATGATTTCAGTTTAATTTACATTTTTAATACAAAAGATATTTGTAAACAAGTCCTTGTATTTTTTTTTCAGTTTATCCAGACTGTGATGTATTCATAAGCCTTCTGGGTACTACTGCTGTTGACTGGGAAAACTTCCAGATTCTTGACTGTTGAAGAGATTTCTTCATAGGAACAAACATTAATATTTAGGAATATATCTACAATTGTAGATCAGTTTATTATGATATTAAATTGTTTTACTTGTTCACCTAGTAAACTGTATAAACTTTATAGCTATGCATGGCTCCTTGTTTTTGTTAGTCCTGCATTACGTTATGGTTGGATACTTTTGTAGAAGTTTACACATTAGCAGCTGAGCAGTGCAATAACTGTTAATACCTCTCATGTTTTGTTAGTGTGGGGAATCTCTTCTGTATGTACAGTTATCAGATAGTAATATATACAAATCTGACATATCTTCCTTCCTTCAATGTTTTAATACAAAATTAATATATGCTCACTAGTTGGTTTTGTGGAGGGTTTTTTCCTTAATATTTACACCAGTGTACATTTTTTCCTATTTTCAATGCTTTTGTAAATATATTTACTTTTTATTAAAAAAAACAAACAAACAGCATATATAATATTTTTATTACAATATCTTTTTATTGCTAAACAATATTTGTGCATCACTGCTTCTTGTTTTCTGATCATTAATTAACAAGAAACTACTTTGCTATTATGTGTCAAGTTCTTTGTTATTTAGGGATTGGAGACTTGTAACATGTATAGCAGTTAAACAAATCTATGGCATTAAATTTTCATGGTGCTCATTACCAGATTTGCCTTCTTGAATATTTAATCATTATGATCTGAAAGTGACAGGAATGTTGTTTTATTATCAATTGTTTAATGATAAAGCCCAGTTCAATTTTTTTTACTCTTATATGCTTCACCAATTGACTTTTTTTACACCCACAATTTGATTATTATATCTTTTGATCCTACTTTGTAGATCTAGGTGTTGTAATAAGTACTTGTTTTATTATATACATACAATGTTGTCTTTCTATTGAGGACATTTGGTTTTTTTGCAAGTTGGCTTGAGTCCATGTTTGATGAGCAACAACTGTTCTAATGTACCTTGGTATATATTACTGGATATAGAATAAAACCATCTGTCTAAAGTACAAGTCTTTTGTGTGCACTATTTTATGATTTCAATTTCCACCTGCAAGTCCAGGGGTGGTCAGTAGCACTAAATCTGTAACAGGAAGGGAGAAAATGTATGGCTGGACTGGGAATCAAACCCAGGACCCCTGCATCTCCAGTCAGGTGCTCTACCAACTGAGCTATCCAGGCCGATATCCATGGCCCAAACCATTACAAAACAAATTGTTAAAAAATTCAGATCTATAGAAAGTCGACCCCCTTTAAAAAGTTTTATCCTTGTCAAATCAGGGTAAATAAAAGTCAAATGTCGCATCTGATATATGACATTTATCTTATGTTCCATTTTGCATCCATGTTGAGGCAGGGCTTAGTAACTGGAATTTGATTCACACCATATACTTGATATTAAGTACAGAACTTCCTGTACTGACTAGGGTATAGTCATTCCCTTGTTATCCTTGGGAACAAAAGAGCTAGAACATGTGGGCAAAATAACGAAGAAGAAGCTAAACTGCGACAGGGTAACAACACCAGGATGTAGTGAGGAGGCTGCCAAGCATGTATTGAGAGGGAATTTAGGAAACGGGACTGTGCTAAAGTGGAAAATGCATTCACTTAAACAAAAGGGAGCAAGAAAATGCATGGCCTGAAAAAAATGTTGATGACCAGAGAGCTACAGAGCTATCCATAGAAAAAAAAATTTTTAATGTGCACAAGTTGCTCTCAATTTTGGATTAAGTTCTCCAAATTCTTATCTCAACTGTACAAAAGCTTGTTTTCAAAACATTCCTTTGAGATCTCTATTTCTCTCGTTTTTGATATCTGACTGAATTATCTTAGTGTACATGTAAATATGGAAAATTTTGATTGTCTTAATTTAAGGTTCATGAGGGCTATAATCAGTAGTTAAAAAGTGTGTTTTGTTGTGGAAAAAGTAAAAGAATGAATTAGGGATGCACAGTAACATTTTGAGATGGCAGTTTGAAAAACACTGAAAAATAAATCAAAGAACAGGGCACTGTTGTGTGCAATAAATATTCATTTTTTGTAATGGGTGGCACTGTAGCTCTCTGGTCTGTCAATATCTTTTTTGGAGACCTACAGTTATGCAGCTAAAAATTGCACTGATATAAAGATAACAGGCATCAGCTTCATCATTTTGCACTTTCTATCATACTTTCTCTTGGACCCAACTGTAACGGAAGGAAATTGCCAGAAGCACACCTAATTTACCATTATTAAATAATTCTGATTTTGTGATTAGTGATAAATAGACAAAAACAGCAGGCAGCAAAAACTAATGACAACAAATTCCAATCTTTAACGATTTATTGGGATAAAACAAAATGTACATTGTACTCATCATATGGTTCTCTCAGAACTACTATGTTCACTTGTCTACTCATTCATGCAACGATTATTCAGTAATATAAATTTTAGATTTAATGAAATAATGAGGATGAATAAGTTTTCCAACACTTCAGCATTAGGTGGCAGTAGAATTGACCACAGTGGTCAGCATTAGGTGGCTGTAGACTTGACCACACTGGTCATTTCTGAGTCATTCTGGTCACAGGGACTGTCCTCCAAACACATAGCCTCAGTTTGTCTGTCTATCTGTCCGTCCATTTCTTCACTTGCTTCAAAAACGCTGTCATCTTCCTCAGTATTAAAGTACTTCTCTTCTTCATCCCGATCAAGTAGGTCAAGGTCATCATAATCAGCATTATGGTCCACTGAGCTAAAAATAGAAAAGTTTCACTGTATTTTTCAGTTTCAGAGGAGCAATTTTCTCACTTTTAATGAAATATTTGTACATGGGCATGGGACTTTTATAAAACGGTCAAACTTTGTATAGAAATTACAACAGAACAGATGCACAAGTCTAAGACAGTAGAAGAGCATGTAAAATAACAGAGAGAGATTGTGCATTGTTGATCTTAGAGTGACCGACCTGTAGTCAAAATGTCTGTCCTCTCCAGCCATAAACCTTTCCTTCATGATCCGAGTGAATTCTGCTCGTAAATCCTGTCTCTTTTCCTCGGATATCTCCTCTGTGTCATCCTCGATTTCTTCCTCTGAAGAAAAGAATTCAGTCTTACAGTACTGTAGGGTTATTGTAAATTCATCCCTCCTCTCTTTGATTTTCCTTTCATCTAATTGTACCAATTTATTAAATGATAATAGATTATATCTTTATATATCTTACATATGAGTATTACAGAGATAAGCTTCTATTATAGTACACCTGTACTGAAGAGAACATTACCTTCATCACTGGTGTCCTCTTCTTCCACTTGACATTCCTACATCATTTGTCAAAAATAAATATAAATACATCATTTATCATGTTTATACAATGTACTATGTTAGACTTCATTCAAAATTGGACATTGCCATTTTTTGCCTATGACGTCACATAATAGAAGCTTCTGGATAACATTTTTTTTTAAAAAATTTGATGACAGCTCACAGTACCTCTAGTTTAATTTCATGACAGCTACTTCACCTATAATAATAGAACACCCACCTCCCTTTCTTTTTCCATCTTGTACAGTTCCTTTTCCTCCATATTATCCATGTGTTTTAACAGAATGGTAGAGAATCGGAGATCAGACTTGTCAATCATTTTCTGAGCCTCCTCCTCCGTTATAAACTGACCAATCAGCTGTTCATACAGAAACGGATCTCGGTACTTCATCTCTTCCTCACTGAAATATTCACCATCGTGTTCCAACTTTTTCATCGCTTCATAGCGTCTGTTTTTCACTACATTTGTACAGAAATGTGCATTACAGTTTTTTCTAATTTCTCGTAAATAAAAGTTAACCTCATAATCATTTTTCCTCTCTCTGAAATAATCCATGTCCTCTAAAGAGAGATGCTGCCAGAACCTGGCCAGAAATGTGTTATCTCCCTTGTTTAAAATTTCCTCTGCTATCTGTAGCTTCTCTGTCTTGGTTAGATCAGACTCTCCTAGCTGCTGATGTTTAAAGTGAGCATTTGACTTAGCTACACGTTCCAGCATTCTCTCCTTAATGTTTCTCAGATCAGAATTCATTTCTGTATTCTCCATTTTGATGTCCTCCTCATTTGCCTTTGTTGTGGAAGGCTGGTCATGTGGATCCATTGTGATGGTAACCAGAATTTCAACTACCGGTAAAATGTTGCAGACATCTTCTACAACATCATTTGTCTTCTGGAAATTAAAAATCAAAACCACATTCAAATGTTAGAAAAAGCCAACTAAAATCAGAAGTAAACAAATTGAACTTGACCAGCCCCATTAGCCCGTGGTTTAGCTGCAGATCTGTAACGTTATGGGTTATGGTCAAAGACAAATATATAAAACCATTTTAAACGCTACAGATCTGCAGCTACCCGTGGTTTGACTATCATGCATCTATCAGGTCCAGCACAATACCCCGATAAAGGTATATAGCTTGATAAAGCTATATAGCTTTATCAAGGTATTTAAAATACCTTGATCAAGGTATTTTATTTAATGAAAATTCAAAAAAATTCTTTAAAAATTAAATACTGAAAGTCGAGTTCTGAGTTTTTGTCAGTGTGTCTACTCGAGCATGAAAAACACTCTGGTATAAAAAAGAAAGCATAAAATAGTGTCTCCTCACACGACACATTTTTATACTGATTTGTTTGTGTTTCAGTACTTTACATGCATGGGTAAATTTACTAACAACAACTCAGAACTCGACTTTCAGTAATTAATTTTTAAAGATTTTTTTTTGAATTTTCATTACATAAAATACCTTGATCAAGGTATTTTAAATACTAAATATTTCAAAGCTATATATCTTTTTATCAAGCTATATATACTGGTGTCTCATAATATCGCGGTACTTAATCCTTTTGCATAAAATGTGTTAATCCAATGTTTTACTTTAACTTTCATCAAATACTATCCATAAACCAATGTATGGCCTAACTTTTTAGTGTCAAATTATTACCCAAGCCCGCATCGTTTAATTTGTTGTCTATTTTTAAAACAGGAAGTCTTATTTACCTCCTAAATTGGAGAGTCTCATAGTATCGCGGTATAGGAAAACATGGAAACTTGTGGCTGACATGGACTTCAATTTTTATTTTTATATTTACGGTGTTATTCTTCATAAAAAATAAACATTTATACAAACTAAAGATTGTCTAAACATAAACATTATTATGGTTTTTACTAGGTTATAAAATCAATGATCTAAATATGATAACAACGGGAATGGAAATCTGTAAAATTACGTTTTATTTGAATAAAAAAATTACCGACGCATGTTCCATAATTTTTAATCGTCACAAACATTTACATTCGGACTACAAACAGATAGTATTATGACAGAAAGGATATGAGCTATGTATCTGAATTTTTGAAATAAACCGCGATACTATGGAACCCGCGATATAATGAGAAGCGAGTATACCTTTATCGGGGTATTGTGCTGGACCTGTCTATGTTGACACGCATATTCTATAAAACTTTGGTGAGACTATATGCCAAGGTCATATTGTGTACAAATTAATGCAAAAATTGTACCTAAAATCTTCTACCATGGTCATTCCATCTGTAAAACCATGGTCCTAAGGTTGTAAATAGTCAGGGTAGTAAAAAAAAAATAGAAAAAAATCTCTTTTCGTGTCAAAACCGGAAGTACATATTCGGAAACTAAAAAAGAAAGGAAAGAAAAAATCCGGAAAAGAGAATTCTGGTTTGGAATGGTTTTACTATTTCCTTGACGATAATAAACAATATGGCGGATAATCCAGACAAAATCTTGCCAACCGAGGATATTTCGAGTTCAAATACGGACATTGCTTTCCCTGACATGAGTTCAGCCGACGATATTGTTAGCAGGGCTCGAGAGGAAATCGAGAAAACAATGGAGAAAGCAATGGCGAGCCAACAGGGTGGACAAGAGTTTGAAGAAGTGATTGAATATGTTGAACCTATTCAGGATCCGTATGGAAAAGCCATAAAATATCTCGAACAACACGATATTTTACAACTTTTTCAGGTTTGTTCATTGCTAATAGCTGATTGAGTTGTACAAAGTTTCCCTAACATTCAACCTGTGTTAGCTAGGTCAGTTACATTAATTACACAATACCAGAAAACCTGCACCTAGTCCATTCATGGTCATGATTGAATTTAGGACCCTTGTAGCTGCAGATCTGCATTATGGTTTTATATATTTGTCTTTGACCATAACGCTACAGATCCTGTAATGCAAAAAAGGTGCAATTTTTGGTGCAATATTTTTTGTGCACATTTGGGGAGATTTTCTCCACTTTAATCAGCATCGGTCAATTAACTACCATTTCCCTAATTCTAGGAACATTATTTAACTAATCTGTATATTTTATCCATCTCCCAACCCTTCATAGTCGTCTCTACAAGTGATAAACTCGCTTGATGAAAATTATTTGTTAGATTGCTGAAAATTCACTTCAAGCAAGATTATTGCCTGTAGAGACAAAAATAAGTGGTTGGGAGGTGGATAAAATATACATATTGGCTACAGAATGTGTCTAAATTTTATAGGGAGTGAAAGGTAGTTGATTGACCAATGCTAGAAAGTGGAGAAATTCTCCCAAAAATTGCGCAAAAAATATTGCGTCATAAATTGCACCTTTTTAGGTCACCTGAGTCACTCAGGTGACCTATTGCTATCTGTTTTCGTCCGTCGTCGTCCGTCGTGTGTCTTGTATCGTGTGTCTTGTGTCGTGTGTTAACATTTGAACATTTTCAGCTTCTTCTCTGAAACCACACAACCAATTTCAACCAAATTTGGTATACAGCATCTATGGGTGAAGGGGAACAAAAATTGTGAATTTTATGGTCCCAACCCCCCTGGGGCCTGAGGGGTGGGGCCAAAACCACTAAAATTAATGAAATCTTTAAAAATCTTCTTTACTCCTGGACATCAAGCAGTCAAACTGTTAGCATGATTGTAATCAGCATTGAGTCCTCTACCAAAATTGTGAAATTGATGGCCCCAGGGTCAGGGTTCTAGTGCTAGGGCAGGGCTATATAGATTATATATTGAAAATGCATTATTTCTTTGAAAATCTTCTTCTCTGCTCCTGGGTGTTAAATAAACTAACTACGTACATAGATATGATGAGCAAGATTGCCTCTTCCAAAATTGTGAATTTTATGGCCCCAGGGTCAGGGGCTCTGTTGATTATATAGTGAAAATACATTAAATGTCTGAAAATCTTCTTCTCTGCTCCTGGGTATTAAATAAAATATATAAGTACATAGATACGATGAGCAAGAGTGCCTCTACCAAAATTTTGAATTTTTTGGCTCCAGGGTCAGGGGTTCTGGTGTTAGGGCGGAGCTCTAAGGATCATATAGTGAAAATGCATTAATTCTTTGAAAATCTTCTTCTCTGCTCCCGGGTATTAAATAAACTAACTTATACATAGTTATGATGAGCAAGAGTGCCTCTTTCAAAATTGTGAATTTTTTGGCCCCAGGGTCAGGGGTTCTGGTGTTAGGGCGGGGCTCTATTGATTACATCGTGAAAATACATTAAATCTTTGAAAATTTTCTTCTCTGCTCCTGAGTATTAAATAAACTAACTTAGTATATAGCTATAGTGAGCAAGAGTGCCTCAACCAAATTTGTGAATTTCATTGCCCCTGTATCAGGGGTTTTGCCAATTGGTGTAAGGGGGGGCTCTTTTGATTATATAGTGAAAATACATTTATGCTTTTAAAATCTTTTCCTTTGCTCCTGAGTATTATGCCAATGATCCAAGTATATATATTTATGATGTAGAAAGTTGCATCTAGCAAAATGGTTATTTTCATGCCCCCTGGGTCAGGGGTGGGGTGGGGGGTGGGGGGTACATAGATTGAAAATAAATTAACATTTTGAAATCTGCTTTTTAGTTATTAATCAACCATTTTATGATAAAATTTTCAAAATTTTGAAATATGTGGCCCCAGGGCCAGTGTTTCCTTTGGGATGGGGTGCACAACTGGTTTGAAGTGGAAGTCTATTTTCTCTTTGTTACTCTGTTCTGCCTCTGGGTATTAAGTAAATAGAGTAAGCATGCTAAGTTTATAATTATGATAAGCAACGGTGCACCTTTCAAAATTCTGAATTTCGTGGCATCTGGTTTAAAACACGAACCAAATTCAATTGTTGGAAAGTTGATACATGATACTCAGGTGACCTATAAGGCCCATGGGCCTCTTGTTTGCATTACGATCTCGGTCTGTAGCGTTATGGTCAAAGACAAATATATAAAACCATAATGCTAAAAGATCTGCAGCTTAATTAGGACCCTTGATGTTGTGAGGATGAGGAAATGTATTAGAAATAAAAAGATTTTTAAACTTTCAAATACTTATTTAAAAAAAAAAAAACTACACTTTGTTCAAATGAAGTCATTGGTAAAATTGAATTTACTCTATAATTATAGTCAAGTTTCCCTACCTTCAAATGAACATTTTTTTTTCATTTTAAATGCTTTACTATACATGTATCTTGTTTCTGTTTTAGGCTTTAACTGCAAATATAGTTTACTTTAAACCAGAGGATCCTCTTAGTTACATGATGAAAGAAATTGAAGTCATAAAAAAGGAGAAAGCTGCTGCAAAAGCAGAAAAGAAGTGAAACTTGTACAGCAAACTTTGTTTTTTACATATCTGGGAGGATTAAGTGAGTTGTAAACAAAGTGTTTTGTGCTTCAGATGAAAAAGGAATCAAAATTTACATCATTTATTTTGTGTCATGAAGCGCGATGAAATGTGTGCAATTTAATTCAAATCTTGTGTATAATCACAGATATACAACAACAATATGTTCATGTTCCACAAACTTTACTTGTTGTAAATTGCTTGCCACTTTACAGATTTTACAAATATAGTTTAGTTGTCCAGTTTTTAAAGACACTAGTGTTTCAGAACTTTTTAAAGGGTTCTAATTGTAAATCTTTTAATAATTTTGTTTTTGTAACAAATTTTGAGATTATGATCATCAAATTGAAATGGCATTCTTACTATCAAGTATTAAGATGTAAAATATAGAAACTTATTTACACATATTAAATATATTATATTTGTGGTTGTGTTATGTGCCAAACTTGTTAAATAGACTTAGAAGTAACTTAATTTCTGTTACAGCATTTCTTTTAAAATCATAATATAAAAAAATGGAATACTTGTATTTCTAATTGTAAAATGATTTAGCCTATGGTTGATGTAATTATATACTGAGTATGTATATATGTATAAATATTGTAATTGACTTTTGATTATAAAATAAAAATCAACTTGTTGTATGGTTACTTTGATTGATTTATAAAACATTTTTCTGCATTGACCTCAACCAAAGATTTGAACTACCACCACATCGGTTTCACAAAGAAAAATGTATAGGTTTACATTTTGTGAAAATAAGTGTGCTGTATAAAAGCTTGCTAAAATGTAAGGGTACCCAATCTATGCTATCTCCCTCCTCCACCCAAGACCCAACACAATTCTTATGAATTTCACTTAAATAGCATATGCATGGAATCTTTTCACTACTACATTTTCTTCCTAAAATACTACATTACCCTTATACTTCACCCTTACTCTCACGAAAAGTGGGGCCCAAATGGCCTTTCAATAAACATTTTCAATAGTAAAAAGTTATGTTTGGAAAAAAGGGGGCATGCCCCCCCCCCCCCACACACACACACACCATCCCCACATCCCTCTTGCTACGTGGCTGCTTTAGAATGAACCTCCTCCCCCAAAAAATTAACCTAGTCACTCGTCCAGAAAATACTGTTCATCCGAAGCAAACTTGGTAGTATGTATTCTTAGACTGGTCAATTATTTAGAAATAAGACCTGTTCCAAAGCTTTAACTTGCTCCTAAAACGCTAGCTAGCTCCAAAATAGTACACTGATTATTCTTTGGCTGAAAATGCAGATCTGAAACCTTGGCTGAAAATGATGATTGCATCTACAGTTACTTGTACAGATTATACATCAGATACATGCATGTATTTACTAGTATATGTGTGTATGTTTATTTGTGTGTATGTAGCCTTTCTTTCAGAACTTTCTATCTTATCATTGTAAAAAAAAACAACAAAAAACAAAAAAAAAAAAAAAAAAACGTGTATGTCTTGTCACAACGCAAAATGCATTAAACTGAGATTATTGCATTTTGCGTTATTACATTTTGCGTCAAAATCAACGTAGAATGTAATAACACAAAATGTAACAGCACACTTTTTAGCATTATTACATTTTGCGTTATTACATTTTGCTTCGAGATCAACGCAAAATGTAAAAACGCAATATGTAATTACACGATTCTTGGATTATTACATTTTGTGTTGTTACATTTTGCGTCGAGGTTAAGCAAAAGGCAAGAACGCAAAATGTTATAAAACACTTTTTTGTCAATCAGCTTGAGTATAATTTTCAATTGAATAGTGGGCGATGAAAATAAATGTACACAAAGTAAACCAAAAGGGAAAATATACACAGATGCTTTTTAAATAGATTTATTTTATAATCTATTGATTTCATTAGGTACTTGTATTAAATATTCAAATCAATGGTGCATGTTGCATTTTAGACCATAATTTTACTGGTAGGTATAAATATATATCGGTGAGGGAGTTTATAAACAATTTGGATGCCATATACATGTATACTATTTGAATACTCTCTCTCTCTTTCTCTCTCTCTCTCTCCAATAATAAAATGGGTTGGTTCTCCTGCCCATTCTCGCTACCGAGACACACATTATACACTTTTACTTTGCTAACCAATGTGCACATGCCAAAGAACAATCAAGAGCTGTAAATTGACCTATGAAAATCTTTGATCAAAAATGTTATGATCAGAAATTAAATAAGACTGATTTATAAAACGGCAGTGTCAATCAAAGTTAGATTAATGTTTCATAATAAAAATGTATCCAATAAAATTGTTACTATTCTGTAAAGTGTATTTCCCATAATTAAACATTTAAATCAATTTTATGATGTTTTGTGTTTAACACAACCCCAAAAATTAACTAGATTTTGTTTTATTACATATTGATTTATTACATTTTCTTCAACGCAAAAATTAATTTACGCAAAATGTAACAACGAAAAAGTACGTTATTATACCCCCCGCTCGAAAAGTGGGAGGGTATAAAGTCACGGTAATCGATATGTCCGTCTGTCCGTCCGTCAAGCTGTCGATCCGTCTGTTACGCTTTGGGGTACCCATCTCTTATCTGCAACTTCTCTCATACCACTGAATGAAATTTGGTGAAACTTTCTCAGAATCTTTATTACATATTGTCATTATGACCTCCTATTTTACTTTTTGATCCGACACATATTTTGGGTTTCCCACAGCAAAACATGGACATTGCCATTATATTCATATGGGAGGCGAAGGGGGGGGGGGGGGGCGGGGCTCATTGCTCACAGTACCTCTAGTTTTTCTTTTCATATCGGTAAAGGACAAATTATTTATTTCCACTTCATCAAGGACAGATTTAAAAAAAAATACCAAAAAATATAATAAAATAAAAGACACCAAAGTGCAAAATTAATTGGGGGGTGGGGTGTAATAGCACTAGTCAGGGACAGCTTATTTATTTTCTTGTCCATCCAGGACAAATCATTTATTTCTAACATATTCTAGAACAGATTATTTTTTTTATTTTTTCCAACAATACTTAAAAGTTGTCGGACTCAATATCCCAAAGGGGAGATTCCATATAAGATCCGATTGGTTTTTAAAAGTCACATGGGGGGAATTCCTTGTCGAGCGCGGCTGGTGGAAATGTCGATTCTTGTTGGTGCATGATTTGGCAGTAAAGTATTTTGAGCATCATTGCAGAATGGCGACCAAAACTGCACCCAAGAGTCAGCTAAGACTGGAATGGGTGTATGGTTATCGGGGACACCAGTGTCGTAATAACCTATTTTACACTGCCAGCAAAGAAGTGACCTATTTTGTGGCCGGTGTGGGAATTGTTTACAACCCAAGGGAACATAAACAACGATTCTTTTTAGGACACGATGACGATATATTATGGTTAGCATTCTGTATTTAAATATTTTCGAAGCAATTTTATTTGCCGCGATCTGATTTCAGTGCATTAATTTTATAGCCATAGTTGGTTGTTAGGTTGGATGCTATCAACTAATTCGAATTTTCTCTGTTTGAAAAATAGCTGGCTCTTAATAGCTAACTATAGGCCTAGTATATCCCACACCCATACCCCACCCACCCAGCTCTAAATGCTCTCATGATGCAATTACATTTTGCAGTACAAATCTAATGAAGAAGTAGTCCTAAATATCTGACGTTTTCCAGTCATGTTTTTTAAATTTGATTTTATTTTTATTAATCCGATTCCTCTGACTCTAACCCCCGCTTTTATTATGACTTGTCTCCCCCGCACAAGTCATAATATAAAAGCGGGGATTAGAGTCAAAGGAATCTCGGATTATATTTTTATGTGCCGGGAAAACATCAGAACTGGCGCCATTACAAAAACTGGAAATTATGCCCTCTCTAACTGGAGTTGATTTTCGATATTTTGGATCCGAACTAAATGCCAAAATCAAAATATATCAGTAGCTCAATGCTTCTAGTACTAACACATTAACATCGATGAAAAGAAAATGTCTCGCAACATTGCGCTACAGAACTTGCAAGACTTTAGAATGCAAAAAATGAAGACAAATTTGGACAATATGATGAAATGTGTTCATCATATTCATTATTGTATATTTTATAAATGAACCAGAATGTTCTGCAAAATTCTTAAAGTGACATTTTCATACAGATCTGTCAAGTGCTTGTCCAACGACACTAATTATATTTAGGTGCACCTGCTTTTGGAGAGGTTTTTGCATTCTTAGATGGGACAATAATTCATTGATTAAATCTAATGTATTTTGTATGCCTTTACTTGCCTATAATTAGTATATGAAATATTTTGTAACACAGAGATATTATTAAGTGTTTGTTAACCTGTTGTGGGATAATACAATTTCAATGCTCTGAATTTGTATCAAGAGTGCAAAATTATTGTTCGGTTATGGTTTTTTAACTCCAAATGTGTACTGTTTTTGATTCTTTAATTTATATATTATAGCCTGGCCCTTCACCCAGATAAGACCATGGTTGCCACTGGGCAGACAGGAAAGAATCCGTTTATTTGTGTATGGGACACAGCTACCATGGAAACAGTTTCCATTCTACGTGATGGACATCAAAATGGCATTGCAGCGGTAGCATTTGACAAAGATGGAGGGGTAAAGATAGGAATTATACTTCTTTTGGTCCCATCCATGATATGACCAAATACAGACATAACCCGGCCTACTTGGCTTTTAACTGGAAAATTATTAGACTAGAATCATAAAAACTGAGCAGATATTAACATCATATTAAAAGTTGTATGTGTTGCATCCTACACCAGGGGCACCTTCTACCTTTAAGTAAGATGATTTTTTTAATATGGTAAATATGGATATGACAGATATTGACCTTCTGTTTATGTTTCAGCATGTAGTGTCTGTAGGATTGGACCAGCACTCTACCATTAATGTGTGGGACTGGAGGAAAGGCAAGATTCTGGCCACGGTGCGGGGACACTCGGATAGGGTGAGTCAACCGCGAACAAAACCATCATAAGAAGTAATCAGAAAGTGTGGTAAAAATGTACTGTAGCCCAGACTGATCAATTTGTTTTATAACTGTACACATTAAGTTCATGTGAATTGATTGCATTAACTTTTTTTAAAGATCTTTGATGTCCAGTTTAACCCATATGCAGCAAACAGTATAGTAAGTTGTGGTGTCAAACACATCAAGTTCTGGTCTCTCTGTGGTAATGCTCTGACCCCTAAGAAAGGTGTGTTTGGGAAGGTAGGGGAGATCCAGACCATCCTCTGCCTGGCGTTTGGTCCAGACGACACGACGTACTCTGGAACGTTGGCTGGAGATGTCTACATCTGGAGAGGAAGTCACTTAGACCGAGTCATTCCGGCAGCTCACCAGGTTAGTTCCTGTGTGGGGAAAGGAGTTAGATAAGTCTGATGATTGATTTATTTGTGCAGGAGTTTTATCAGTCTTTATGCAATAATTATTATTCTCTGTTTCTATAAAATAAAAAAGGAGATGCTCTTGCGCCAAAGCTAATTTGTTAGTATATTTTATTACTTCAGAATGGAAAATAAGGAATGACGTTATAGACTGATGTTAGGATTTGTAAAGGGTATATCATGTCATTGATAATGAATGCTTTAGAAAGTGAGTTTAAACCTATTAATTCTCTATTCTGATGGTTGACAGGGTGCAATATTTACTATGGACATGTCAGAGGATGGGTACAGTACTGGAGGTAAGGATGGGGTGGTGAAACTGTGGGACCCAGACTTTAAACCAGTTACCAGCATCAACCTGGCCAACTCACCAGCTGGATATAAAGGTTAGTCATCCATAAAATGTATTGATCTGTGAGTTATCCATTGGTCACTCATGTATAGTAAAACTCGGTTATAGTGAAGTCTAAGGGACCTGTGAATTTAATTTGCTATATCCGTAATTCATTATATTAGTATAATGAATTCGTATTAGTTTATATGGCGAATTCGTAATAAGCGCGTTTTCCTTTAAGTGTTACTACCAAATATGTTTGGGAAGCAATTATTACAAAACATACCTTGGCTTACTAAGGTTTTCATTATGAATTGAATTTCATTTGCAAATTTTTACTAAAAATAAAGTCGGTTTAATATATCTAATTTTGAGATTTTTGAAAATTTGTTATAAAAGATGTGAATTTCATTATTTTAAACCTTTGCGGGACAAAAAATTGGTTCGCTATATCCATAAATTCGCTATATCAGAGTTTGTTAGAACCATAAAAATTTACAAAGAATTGTTAAGAATTTTGCCGGGGACAAAGAAAAACTTCGCTATATCCGTGAATTCGCTATATCCGTGTTCATACTAAACAAGTTTTACTGTACTAGTTTTAAGAGGTCATCATGTGCAATTCTATCTAGACATGTAAATTTGTGAAATTACCCTGAGGATTTCAATACTCCCTGGTTTTTCAGGATTAACTGTGCGGAGCGTTTGCTGGCGAGGGGATCGGGTGCTAATTGGGACACAGGACAGCCAGATATTTGAGGTGATGGTCCGAGACAGAGACAAGCCACACTGCTTAGTGGACGGCCATGCAGAGGGAGAGTTATGGGCCTTGGCAGTCCATCCTAAGAAACCTATTTTTGCCACAGGAAGTGATGACCAGACTTTAAGGTATTGTGGATGCCATAGTCAAATGTTCTTTTACTTTGATTTTAACTTTTTTTGTTGAGGGAGGATACTTGTGTACATTTTTGTACATAGAATTCAAATCTATCATGAGATATTAGAACTAGATGATTACAATTAACAGTCAGATTGATTACACTTCTGTTGCATAATATATATTTTGTGTATTTATATGTATGTATCGAAACATAATACAGGCTTTTTTATCTCACATTGCTGAAATGTTTCTATTTCTTCAGGCTGTGGAACATGAACAATTTTGAGATCCTCTCCAAGATGTCTGTGGACCAGAAGATCCGGAGCTGTGCCTTTGATGCGGACGGAAGCCATATTGCTTTGGGTCTCACTGACGGCTCATTCATGGTGTTAAAATCCAGGTCTGTTTACTTGAAATACTTGATTTTGAAATGTTCAGCAATGTACATGGATATAGGAGAGGTTTTTTTCATATTTTGCATCAAAACATTTGTGCATTTTTTGATAAAGGAATAAATGAAAACATAAAATTGCATTTTAAAGTACTGGGAAGAGAGTCAAATATTTTATTTTTCAAAAGAGAGTTATCGGACAATATTATGTGAGTAGTGGTGTATATATTGTGTAATTTCCTCACAAGTTAATGTGATTTATACAGAGATTTATCTGAGGTCGTCCACCTGAAGGATAGGAAGGAGGTCATACACGAGATGAAGTTTTCGCCGTGTGGTAAATACCTGGCCGTCGCTTCTAATGACAACTTTGTGGACATCTACTCAACAGAACAGCGGTATAAACTCCTGGGAACATGTCGTGGCAGCTCAAGTTTCATCACTCATATAGACTGGTCTACAGACAGCCAGTACCTACAGACAAACAGCGGGGCCGCAGAGAGACTCTTCTACAAAATGCCAGGTCAGTTTTTCTCTTTCATTCATAACTTAGATAAATACTCCTTCAGAACAGGTAACAAGAATTAGAAAATTAAACCTGCATGCTGTATGTAATACTCCTTAAATATTTTCCTTCATTCATCATTTGTTTGGCCTTCATCATGTTGTGTAGTCAACCATATTTGCCACAAAAAATCCTCTGATGAAGGGAATTTGTTGAAATAAAGGGCTACATTCTATTTAATAATTTACGTAATTAAGAAAGAACGGAAATTTTTTGGCATCTTTTAAAAATCCATTGGGCCAAAAATGATCAAACTTTTGCAAAAGCATGGAATCAAATTTATTTATTTAGGTCGCACATGATTCTAAGGAAGAGGATAGGGCCACAACGAGAAATCAAAGGTTAGATAGGAACAACTATGAAAAATCTTTAAAAATCTTCTGAAGAAGAACAGCTGAGTCATAATTATTCATATTCCTAGGAGCACCCTCAGGAATTCAATATATAGGAAAAAATCCCTGAAAGTCCTCTCAAGAACAGCAAAGCCATGATCATTAATATTTATATGGAAGCATTCCCAGATAGTGTAGATTCAATTTTGCTTAAACCATGACACCCCAACTTCTTCCCCCTTTTGGGTAAGTTGGGGCCACATTGTTAATGGCCAATCAAATGTTGTGGCCCATGGGCCTCTAGTTTAAAATTATTTTTGCAATTAGGTATATTCAGTTTTAAAACATTGCATATCCCAATTTTTATCTCCATAGCTGGAAAACAAGTGACGAACAAAGAGGAGATCTCCAGTATACATTGGTGCACATTTACTGGTGTCTTAGGGAACGAGGTCAACGGGATCTGGGAGAAATACACCGATACTAACGACGTCAATGCTGTGGACGCTTATTTCCAAGGGGAGGTGCTGGTCACCGGGGATGATTTTGGACTTGTTAAGCTGTTTAAATTTCCATGTTTGAAAAAAGGTGAAAAAGGATTTATTTCCAACAGAATTTAAAACACTGCAATTTAAAAGAAAGGAAATAAGCTGTATAACTCATTAAAAATAGTAAATTTTATGAATGCATGGTATATTTTAAAGGAAAATGAAGGGACTCAGATATGTATACAAGTTGTCTTTACTGTCTAGGTGCAAAGTTTAGGAAGTATGTGGGACACTCAGCTCATGTGACCAATGTGCGATTTTCTCATGACAAGACGAGGGTCATTTCTACTGGGGGTGCCGATCATGCCATGTTCCAGTGGAAGTTTTTATTGGATGGAAGTAATGAACCCGACCCTCAGTCAGGTTTGTATACAGAGTGTCATGTAATAGCTAAATTGGTGAAGACAGAACAAAACTAAAAAAAGAGAGGAAAAAACAATTTATAAGTGAAAAACCTAAACATTTACAGGATGTTATCTGTAGGTAGTAATCTCTTGCGGTTTACGGATGTTGACAGGTTTTGATGTAAATCTATATATTAGGTAGTGATCTTTCATGGTTTACGGATTTTGACAGGTTTTGTGGACTCTAACAGTGAGGAGAGCGACTCCGATTTATCAGACGTTGCTGACATGGACTCCGATTTGGAAGCAGAGAAACAAGTCGTGTATTCTAGGGCCATCTATAAAGAGGATGCCGCAAAAATCCGAAAAATGATAAAGGACGAGCTGCCAGCAGGACAGAAGCGTAAACGGGGACCAACTGCAGGACTGAAACTGCAGTTTATTCATGGGTAAGGGAGATAAGTTTTGAATATATATCTTTATGAAACAATTTATTGAATGGGAAAAATAACTCTAATTTTTGTTTGCAGTTTAGATCTAGTACCAGCAACAAAAATTTTAATTACTGTCATTATGCATATACAGTGGTGCCTCATTTATCTGGATGCTTTGGTTCCCAGGCAAATTGTCCGGATAAGTGAAGTGTCCGGATATCTGAATTCTATTGATTTCACTTCCAGGTATACTGTATTTGTATTGTAACTCTTATATATAAAGAAAGATAAATGCTATCATATAGAAATAATAATTTATTTTTTTTAAAAACTATATCTTTAGTACACATCAGCACTACTTTTACACTTTTTTCAAATATAATAAATATTTTTATAGCTAAAAACTAAATGCAGACTCGCGCTCTCTTTGTCGGTGGTTTAGACATGGTTGTAGCTGGAGAGCAGAATGACAAACATTGGATATAACGCTGCTTATATGGGCAGATTTTTCATTACCCAGCTTAGTTTTTACTTTCTACTTCCTATAAATTGATGAACATAGCCAAGTGAATTCTCTCATTTGCAGCTTTGATTACCGGTACACCCAAGCGAGCTGTCAGTATCGAGTCTAATTTTAATTTGAACACTCATCCACGCTAAATCTGACATATTAAAAATTCACGCAGTAATCATCCCAAGCGAAATCATTGATTGTCTAAAATTATTCAAATTTGATTGAATGTTTTAGTTTTTTTTTTCGATGATAACTGCCACCAATCTACAGATGAAAATTACAATACCGATTGTGTGTGCACATGTGTAGACTATGAGATTATGAAACTATGTCGTCCCGTCTATAAATAGAAAAATATTTAAAACCAGCTCTGTACTAAAATTATAAATATTTCGCAGATAACAAATAACTGAATAGAAAATTGTTTTCTGTTACCAACACAGTTAATTGTTTATTTTCATTTGTGTATCGATCTCTCTTATATTATGACCATAGGTCACAGGTGATCGTCTTGTAAAAACAATCAATCCGGCCAGTGTTTTGATAACAATTATCACTCAGTTCAGGCGTGAATGTTGACAAGAATGGAAGTACAAATTAAAATTTACTGTCCGGATAAATGAACCAATTTATAACGTAAAAATACATTTTGTAGTAAAAAAGAGCCGTCCGGATACGGAACGCGGAATTCCGGATAAATGAGTCAAAATTACGTTGAAAAAATCTGTTCCCGAGAAAAATTGTCCGGAAGGTGAAGCGTCCGGATATCTGAAGGTCCACTGTAATTGAACTATCATCGTATTTTACTTCTGAAACAGTTTTACACTAACAAATTTTAAAAATATTTAGGTACAGGGGTTATGACTGCCGCAACAATTTGTTCTACACCCAGAATGGTGAAGTGGTATACCATGTGGCGGCCGCTGGTATTGTGTATAACAGAGAGAAACACACCCAGAAGTTCTACACGGAGCATACGGACGACATCTTATGTCTGTGTATACACCCGATCAAGGACCTGGTGGCTACAGGACAGGTGTGTAGCAGGGTGTCCTCAGAGAGTTACAGGGGAAGGGATAGGTGTGTAGCAGGGTGTCCTCAGAGAGTTACAGGGGAAGGGATAGGTGTGTAGCAGGGTGTCCTCAGAGAGTTACAGGGGAAGGGATAGGTGTGTAGCAGGGTGTCCTCAGGGGAGAGGGGGGAGGGGAAGCTACAGGACAGGTGTGTAGCAGGGTGTCCTTAGAGAGTTACAGGGGAAGGGATAGGTGTGTAGCAGGGTGTCCTCAGGGGAGAGGGGGGAGGGGGAGCTACAGGACAGGTGTGTAGCAGGGTGTCCTTAGAGAGTTACAGGGCAAGGAATAGGTGTGTAGCAGGGTGTCCTCAGAGAGTTACAGGGGAAGGAATAGATGTGTAGCAGGGTGTCCTCAGAGAGTTAGGGGGGGAAGGGATAGGTGTGTAGCAGGGTGTCCTTAGAGAGTTACAGGGGAAGGGATAGGTGTGTAGCAGGGTATCCTTAGAGAGTTACAGGGGAAGGAATAGGTGTGTAGCAGGGTGTCCTCAGAGAGTTACAGGGGAAGGGATAGGTGTGTAGCAGGGTGTCCTCAGGGGAGAGGGGGGAGGGGGAGCTACAGGACAGGTGTGTAGCAGGGTGTCCTTAGGGGAGAGGGGGGAGGGGGAGCTACAGGACAGGTGTGTAGCAGGGTGTCCTACAGGACAGGTGTGAGAGGGTGGGAGGGGGGGGAGCTACAGGACAGGTGTGTAGCAGGGTGTTGTCAGGGTATCTCAGGGGAGGGGAAGCTACAGGACAGGTGTGTAGCAGGGTGTCCTCAGGGAATCACAGGGGAGGGGGAGCTACAAGACAGGTGTGTACTGGGTGTCCTCAGAGAGTTACAGGGGAAGGGACAGGTGTGTACAGGGTGTTCTCAGGGGAGAGGGGGGAGGTAGCGACAGGACAGGTGTGTAGTAGGGTGTTCTCAGGAGAGAGGGGGGAGGTAGCTACAGGACAGGTGTGTACAGGGTGTTCTCAGGGGAGAGGGGGGAGGTAGCAGGGGAGAGGGGGGAGGTAGCTGCAGGACAGGTGTGTACAGGGTGTTCTCAGGGGAGAGGGGGGAGGTAGCTACAGGTCAGGTGTGTACAGGGTGTTCTCAGGGGAGAGGGGGGAGGTAGCTACAGGTCAGGTGTGTATGGGGTGTCCTCAGGGGAGAGGGGGGAGGTAGCGACAGGACAGGTGTGTACAGGGTGTTCTCAGGGGAGAGAGGGGGAGGGTAGCTACAGGACAGGTGTGTAGCAGGGTGTTCTCAGGGTATCTCATTGGAGGGGAAGCTACAGGACAGATGTGTAGCAGGGTGTTGTCAGGGTATCTCAGGGGAGGGGAAGCTACAGGACAGGTGTGTAGCAGGGTGTTCTCAGGGGATCTCAGGGAAGAGGGAGAACTGAAACTTCTTAGTCCTTAAAACTAAATGAATGTTCTTAAATTTAGGTTGGTCGGGACCCTGCTGTTCACGTTTGGGACGCGGAAACTCTGAAGACAGCCTCCATACTGAAAGGACAGCACCAGAGAGGAGTCTGTGCTGTAGATTTTTCAGGTATACTGTAACAAAAAGTGTATTACACAGGTCTCATCTTATCTCAGGTACATTGTAACATAGTAATGTATTCCGCAGGCTTCATCTTATCTCAGGTACATTGTAACAAAGTAGTGTATTCCGCAGGCTTCATCTTATCTCAGGTACATTGTAACATAGTAATGTATTCCGCAGGCTTCATCTTATCTCAGGTACATTGTAACATAGTAATGTATTCTGCAGGCTTCATCTTATCTAAGGTATACTAACAAAAAATGTATTCCGCAGGCTTCATCTTATCTCAGGTACATTGTAACAAAAAATGTATTCTGCAGGCTTCATCTTAATACAGTGTTGTAAAGCAGAATCTGTTATGTGTAATTTTGGTTCATGATATTTATTAGGTGATGGTAAAAAGTTAGCCTCTGTTGGATTGGATGATAATCATTGTATCGTTGTCTGGGATTGGAGAAAAGGAGAAAAGTTAGCTACCACCAGGTATACCTCACTACCCAGTATACTTCACATTATAAATGCATATCATGTTCCCATTTAATTGATTTTTTAATTACATCCATGTACTTCCATTTGAAATACTGCATTAATTTCCTCTTACTGAAAGTACAATTTTTACATGATCCAAATTAATCTTTCATACAAAATGATGTATTCTTCACAAGAAGGGACAAAATTCAGACTATATCTTATAAATGTAGTGATTTAATGACCTTACTAGTTTATTATTAACAATATTCTCATATTGTGTGTAGTGAGTATGTATTTGATTATATTGTAGAATCTAAAGATGTGTTTGATTTACAATTTATTTTGCAGAGGTCATAAAGATAAGATATTTGTCATCAAGTGGAATCCATTTGAAGCCAACAAGTTGATAACAGTAGGAGTTAAACACATCAAATTCTGGTCGCAAGCAGGCAAGTATTTCACCAAACGAGTGTCAGTATCACTCTGACAGGGAATGTAAAAACAAACCTGTAAGTGTCGTTTTTCCTTCTGTAGGTGGTGGATTCACGTCCATGCAAGGTACCTTCGGTAATGTGTTTAAGTCCAGTGACACAAACTTTTAATGCTGTTTTTTCCTTCTGTAGGTGGTGGCTTCACGTCCACACGTGGTACCTTTGGTAACGTGTCTAAGTCCTGTGACATGCTCTGTGTGGCGTTTGGGAAGGCAGCGGATATTAGTTTTTCTGGAGGAAGTGATGGCAATGTTTTTATCTGGAAAGACTCGACCCTCCAGAAGTCAGTCAAAGCTCATGAAGGGCCTCTGTTTGCCATGCACTCACTAGACAAGGTCAGGGATTGTTTCCTTTGGTTTCAAATTCACAAAACTTGTCATTGGTGATGAATTAGATATTTTAGACGGAAAAATGCCTTTTAAACATGAAAAAAAATTTAATTGAGCTTTAAATCAAAGATGACATTAAGGACATTTTTACAAGATAAATCAGCACTTATTTAAGATTACATTAAAGAACACTCTGATTTCTTATTACACAAGCAATAACTGGTGTACTTTAAGTGTGAATAAAATAATTATAAAAAGCATTAAGTAAACTCTGATTTTATTTTCTCTAGGGTTTTGTGACGGGGGGTAAAGATGGCATGATTGGTTTGTGGGATGACCAGTTTGAGCGATGCTTGAAACAGTACTACATCAAAAAATCAGGAATTGAGCAGTCTTCTAGAGGCATGCTGATGACAGAATTACCAGCTGTGCGGGCCATTGTTCTGGGTCACGGAAAAATCCTGGTGGGGACCAAGAATGGGGAGGTTCTGGAGGTGGACAAGGGAGGACCCATGACAATCCTGGCACAGGTACCAAAGGGGGTATCATTGGGGAGGTCTTGGTGGACCCATGACTAGGGGCGGGGATTATCAAGGGGGGAGGTCTTAGTGGACCCTTGACAATTCTGGCACAGGTTCTAGAGGGAATTATCAGAGTGGGGGAAGGTCTCCATTATGTTTATGCTGCAGAATTTACTTGTAATAAGATAAACAATTCAGCTTATGTGATAGCAGTTACATGTAGTTCGTATTGATTGTATGTGTAAACAAGAGGTAAATATTCTTGGAATATGCTCAACTTATCTTTTTAGCTCACCTGAGCCGAAGACTCAAGTGAGATTTTCTGATCACATTTTGTCCGTCGTCCATCCGTCTGTCCGTCCGTCTGTCCGTCTGTCTGTCTGTCCGTCTGTAAACTTTTCACATTTTCGACTTCTTCTCAAGAACCACTGGGCCAATTTTGACCAATCTTGGTACAAAGCATTCTTGGGTGAAGGGGAATCTAAATTGTTAAAATGAAGGGACATATCCCCTCGCAAGGGGAGATAATCAAGAAAAGACAAAAATAGGGTTGGGTCATTAAAAAATCTTCTTCTTAAGAACCACTGGGCCACTAAAGCTGAAACTTATGTGGAAGCATCCTGGGGTAGTGTAGATTTTAAATTGTTCAAATCATGACCCCCGGGGGAAGGGCGGGGCCACAATGGGGAATCAAATTTTTATATAGAAAGATATAGGAAAAATCTTTGAAAATCTTCTTCTCAAGAACCACTGGGCCAGAAAAGCTGAAACTTATGTGGAAGCATCCTGGTATAGTGTAGATTCTAAATTGTTCACATCGTGACCCCCGGGGGAAGGGCGGGGCCACAATGGGGAATCCAAGTTTTACATAGAAATATATAGGAAAAATCTTTGAAAATCTTCTTCTCAAGAACCACTGGGCCAGAAAAGCTGAAACTTATGTGGAAGCATCCTGGTATAATGTAGATTCTAAATTGTTCAAATCATGACCCCCGGGGGAAGGGCGGGGCCACAATGGGGAATCAAAGTTTTATATAGAAATATATAGGAAAAATCTTTGAAAATCTTCTTTTCAAGAACACTGGGCCAGAAAAGCTGAAGCTTATGTGGAAGCATCCTGGTATAATGTAGATTCTAAATTGTTCGAATCATGACCCCCGGGGGAAGGGCGGGGCCACAATGGGGAATCAAAGTTTTATATAGAAATATAAAGGAAAAATCTTTGAAAATCTTCTTCTCAAGAACCACTGGGCCAGAAAAGCTGAAGCTTATGTGGAAGCATCCTGGTATAGTGTAGATTCTAAATTGTTCAAATCATGACCCCCGGGGGAAGGGCGGGGCCACAATGGGGTATCAAAGTTTTACATAGAAAGATATAGGAAAAATCTTTGAAAATCTTCTTCTCAAGAACCACTGGGCCAGTAAAGCTGAAACTTATGTGGAAGCATCCTGGTATAATGTAGATTCTAAATTGTTAAATTAATGACCCCAGGGGGAAGGGCGGGGCCACAATGGGGAATCAAATTTTTATATAGAAATATATAGGAAAAATCTTTGAAAATCTTCTTCTCAAGAACCACTGGGCCAGAAAAAGTGAAGCTTATGTGGAAGCATTCTTGGGTAGTGTTAATTCTAAATTGTAGGAATCATGACCCCCGGGGGAAGGGTGGGGCCATTATAGGGAATCAAAGTTTTACATAGAAATATATAGGAAAAATCTTTGAAAATCTTCTTCTCAGGAACCACTGGGCTAAAAAAGCTGAAACATATGTGCCCATGGAAAGTTCATGGGGTAGTGTAGATTTCAAAATGTCTAAATTATGATCAGTGGGGTAGGGTGGGGATGCATTATGTATAACAAGGGGGAAATCTGGTAAAGAACAGAATGGTCAAAGCTTCTCAGGTGAGCGATGTGGCCCATGGGCCTCTTGTTTATTTTACATAATAGTTTTTGCATTTGTATGTTGATATTTGAATAATATAATCAGTCTAAAAAGTTGCCATGCACACTGACCCCAATTTCATTGTTGATTGATTTGTCAAAACAGCAGCTGCACCCCCACCCCCCAATTTACTTTACCAGATGAGATGTTCATTCATGTGTTTTATAGGGCCATATGCAAGGAGAGCTCTGGGGGTTAGGGATGCACCCCACACAGCAGATTTGTGCCACTGTGAGTGATGATAAGACTTTGAGGGTGTGGGATATTGGATCTGATCACAGGTTGATTAACTACAAAATCCTCAAACAGGCTGCGAGAAGTGTGGCTTTCTCATCAGATGGGAAATTTCTGGCTGTTGGACAGAAAGATGGTATGGTGTTTCTTTAATGTGAGGTAGTATTGTAGCATTTCGATTAAGTATTGTGTAGAGAATCAAAAATATGCTCCATGTTGAGGGACATCCCAGAAGAACATTTGTAGTTAAAGCATACCGGCCCGGTATATGAGATATTCAATATTTGCATCAAAATTTTTTCAAAATAGTAGATTCTAAAGTAGCAGGAAACAAATATTTGTAATTGGGATGTTATTTGGTAAAAGAGCTGATATTTTCACAGATTTTTATTTATGTTGTTTTACCAGTGTTGTTGATAGATGATATGACTTGTTACAGGGAGTTTTGGTTTATTTGATTATTTTGTATGGCCAGTATTGTTGTAAGATGATACATTTTGTTACAGGGAGTTTTATGGTGGTCAATATAGACAACATGGAGGAAGTCATCTCCTTCCATCACAGGAAAGAAGAAATCTCCGATATCAAATTCTCCCCAGGTAAACAGGAAAATATTCACATTGTAAGAAATCTCCGACATCAAATTCTCCCCAGGTAAACAGGAAAATATTCACATTGTAAGAAACCTCCGATATCAAATTCTCCCCAGGTAAACAGGAAAATATTCACATTGTAAGAAATCTCCGATATCAAATTCTCCCCAGGTAAACCGGAAAATATTCACGTGTGCAGAATTTCTCCTATCAGTAATTGTAAGAAAATAATTCGTGGTAGATTATTTACTGTTTTTTTTTCTTAAAACATGAGTACATGTAAATGAAATACATTGAGAACCATAGATGTAGTATACACTGACTAAAACTGATGAATTTCAGAGGAGGGAAAGTACCTGGCTGTGGCCTCCCATGACAACTTTGTAGACATCTACAATGTCCTGAGTAAGAAGAGGGTGGGGACATGTAAGGCAGCCTCCAGTTATATCACACACGTGGACTGGGACAAAGCAGGTAATTAAGTAAGAAGAGGGTGGTGACATTACAGTTTCATTTACATGTAATCACCCTGGTTAATGGCTAGATGGGTAATGGACAAGAGACACTCTGTTGTTATTCTTCTTAAGATGTGTTTGCATTATTTTGACTTACAAGTGGAGAATAAGTTAAGAGATATTTCTCTTAAAAATATAAAGATGACAAAGGCCTTAAAAATTAATGCAGTGCATTGTTTAATTTTGTTTATTTTTGCGTCATTGAAAATAATTCTGAGGCACTTATGTTACAGGGCGATTACTAATGGTTAACACCGGGGCTAAGGAACAGCTGTTCTACGAGGCCCCGCGTGGGAGAAGAGTGACTCTCAGTAACTCGGAGATAGAGAAAATCGACTGGGCTTCATGGACTTGTGTTCTAGGGAAGACCTGCGAGGGGATCTGGCCTCCTAAAAGTGACATTACTGACGTGAATGCCACATCTCTCTCAAAGGACAAACAGTTACTGGCTACCGGCGATGACTTTGGATTTGTCAAGCTCTTCCAGTATCCAGTTAAGGTGGGCTGGTCTTAAGATTACAATAGGTGTATGTTCTAATCAAAATTTAAGGTGTTGCTTAAAGATGTGTGTGCACAACAAGTTTTTGTGAAGAATCATAAAAGTCAGGCATGACATCTTATTTATGATGTACTCTATGGTAATATTTCATGCTGTGTCACATTTTCTTGTTATTCTAATAAAATGTTGTCATGAAATGAAACAGTATATTACTTGCCATGAATTCAGATAATATTCATGTTTGTGAATATATTTTCAATAATTTCAGGGAAAGTTTGCCAAACACAAGCGCTATGTAGGTCACTCTGCCCATGTGACCAATGTGCGGTGGTCGTCAGATGACAAGCTGCTGGTGTCTACAGGTGGGGCTGACACCGCGGTAATGGTGTGGCAGTGTACGTCCGCGGCGGACAGGAACACCACATGTGGTGAGAGTGACGACTCTGACACAGACTCTGAGGAGGAGGGAGGTAAAGCTCGGACAGATAGCAGAACACTCTCATATTTGTTCTGTTAAAATAAAGTGTAGAGCAATGTACATGTACTAGTAAAAATGTTTTATCTATGTTTGTACTGTGCATACTTTCATAATTGGTATGTGTTCAGATAATCAGGCAATGTTGAAATTGAATACTTTTTTGAAGTCTCTCTTTAGTTTGTTTGATTTTTCTTTCTTATTATCACTAATCAGGTTATGACAGTGATGTTGAACGAGAGAAAAATATGGATTACAACACGAAGATATATGTCAACCCAATCCGAGAGAAAGAGGGCACTAAACCTCATCTTCAAGAGCACACAGAGGTGGAGAAGTAAGGATTTTTAATCAGTATATGTAAAATAATGAAAAAACATTATGACTATTGGTAAGACTGAAAGTCCTTGGAAGAGAAAGAAGTGCTCTTGTAAGTCACAACACAATGGGGACTCCAAAATACACTAAACAGCATGTGTTATCATTAGAGTTGTTGAGATTTCAGTCTTTGATCATTATTTTTTCAGACCCAGTGTCAGTAGAAATGCACCTGTTCCACCCAAAGTCCAGAGAGCAGAGATTCCCAGCTCTGGTTCTAAACGCAAGAAAAGAACACCAGTCAATGTAAGATAGGAGAATATAATACACCCCCACTACCCCCACTCCCCTACACACAGTACTATCCAATATTTTAATGTAACAATGAATATTTTTTGCCTTCTGTCAGTTTCACCCTTGCACTCTTGCAAACAATTTTTTCCCACTTAAAATTCATCCGGACACAGTTGTGTTAAAATGATAATCCTGTTTGAATTTGCCTCATTTAAAATTTTACCTTCTTGCAGGCAAAAATAAAATGATGATGAAAATATCCCTACATGCCGTATTTTCATTCCAACATAATTTTTTTACCTATCAGTGTACATGTAAAAGATACTTTACAAAATTAATTGTTTGTCAGTAGTTAGATACTCTTTACAAGTTCATCCCTTTTATTCCCACACAGGACTTACAGTTGGAATACGTCCATGGATACAGAGGGTTTGACTCCAGGAATAACCTCCACTACATCAATGATGGGGCAGACATTGTCTTCCATGCAGCAGGAGCAGGCATTGTCCAGAATCTGTCTACAGGTGAAATCAATCTTTTATATTATATTCTCACAAAGACTTGAAACTTGATTTCACGTCAAGTTTAGAATATGTGTACATTACGTGTACATTACTTTTAAAAAAATATAACTGACTTGTAAGCAGACCAACTTATCTGCAGGTACAGCAGAACTCGGTTATAACGAAGTCGCTTGGACCCCTTGGAATTACTTCATTATATCCGTACTTCATTATATTCCTATAAGAAATATAGCTGGGGATCCAAGATGACTTCGCTATATCCATGAATTTGCAATATCTGTGTTCGTATTAAACAAGTTTTACTGTATAAATGGTACTTATCAAACTTGATGTAAAAGTATTTCAAAGAAAATTGATTACTGTAAATGTATTATATTTAGCGTGTACGATATTTGGCGGAAATTGAGTTTTGAACAAGTTAGCGTAGATTTGATTTAGCGCATTTCTTATCGTTCTTATTTACGTATATAAGTACAAAATATTTAGCGTTGTACTTGAATTAGCGGAAGTGTCTTTCCGCCAAAAGCGCTAAACAGCCAAATGTGCTACGTTTACAGTATAACCAAACTAACGAAAGATACTTAGTGAAAAGCTGCAAGCTGAAATATCCTCTTCCATTTTAGGACATCAAAGTTTCTACTTGGAACACACGGATGACATCATATGTTTAGCAGCTAATCAAAATAACAAGTTTAAGAACATTGTGGCCTCTGGTCAGATAGGAAACCCTCCCTCCATTCACATTTGGGATGCTGCCACCAAGGAGACAAAGTCAATACTAAGGGGAGGCCACTCTAGAGGGGTGTGTTCAGTGGACTTCTCCTGTACTGGGAAGTACATTGTGTCTGTAGATTTGGCAGATGATCACCAGATAGCTGTTTGGAGATGGCAGGAAGGTAAACTTTCCATTACTTAGAAACCATATGAATTCCCTTCTGACAAGTTGTTTGAAAAGTTAGGTTGTGCTCTCATATAATATAAACCCAGCATTGTTAAAATTACTTTATTGAATAAAACGTCTGATATTTCTAGGTGTAAAAGTTGCAAGTGCCCCAGGACACAACCAGCGGATTTTCCGGGCTGAATTCCGGCCTGATTCAGACAGTCAGTTTGTGTCTGTTGGGGTGAAACATGTGAAGTTTTGGACGGTAGCTGGCAGCGAGCTGCTGGGTAAGCGTGGTATTCTAACGGACGCCGGGTCGGGAACTCAGATAAAGACTCTACAGACCATGCTATCTGTGGCATTTGGAGCTGTATGTATATGCAATAAAATTTTTTTGATAGAAACATAAAGAATTTATTTTTACTCTTTAAGAATGAATCAAACTTGTCCAGACCTGTTATGACAACTACAGATTTTAGTCTTTCTAGAAAGTGACCTCCAGTAATCTTCATCATATTGAATTCTTCACATCTCACTACACTTTTCTTAAAGTGCAGGTAGTCTTGCTGAAAAGATGACTGTTTTGTTTTGTAGAACAATGTGACCTTCACTGGGGCAATGAATGGAGATGTTTATGTGTGGAAGGATGTGACTTTGACCCGGATAGTTCCTAAGGCCCATAATGGACCTGTATTTACCATGTTTACTACACTTAGAGACGGCTTTATAGTCACAGGAGGAAAGGAGGGATCGTATGTATTGATAGATTGATCTACAAACCTTTCTGTTGAAAGAACAGATATATACATTAAAACCTCATAAAAGTCAATCAACGGCACCAAGGATGATAATATTGATTACGTACTGTAAATTATTGACGAGTTGAAAAATTGATGATCTTTTGTTTACAAAATTTTATGAGTGTTAATTTTGACGAAATATTGAATCAAGTACAGTATCTTTGAATTTACAAAGTAAAAAATGAATTTCAGAGTTAGAGTTAGACCATCTACAGTGTGTAAGATTGTACATACCCTATGAGTGTGTAAGACTTGATAACATAAATTACCCTTTTGTATTTTGATTTTCAATATTCATGTTATTAGCTTGAGGTGACAAATTTGGTCAAGCACGGCGTGATAATTACGCTAAGTTACGCATGCAAGTATTTGATACATTAGTTTAGATTCAATGGTTTTTAAAAAGTGTGATTATATATCACTATGTTTTCATAACTAATTACAAAGGATATTAACTCTTTACAACTTGCTGATCTGTGACGCAACATGCACTTAATGTTCGCGTCATAGAAATATGACGTTACCATTTCCCCGCAAGCACTTTATAGCAACGTACAAGTTTCTCTAAATTTTAGCGTAAATAATATCATGACGTAGTATTTTAATATGAAAATAACTTTTCTCATTTTATGATGTTTAAGCAAGTATAAAAAAAGAAGGAATTTAGCAATTAAATGAAGATTAAATGAACTTTTTAAAGTGCGTGAAAATGCATGGTTGCGGGGAAACGGTATATGCGTGATTTTGCGTTAGAAATAGGAAATGGTATATGCGTCAAAATGCGTGACCGCGGGGAAGGGGGTTAACAGTAACTTTCATCTAGTTTTAATAGGGGAAAGCCGAGTAAATTAAGCGGAAAAGTTGTACAATGGTCAATGTTTGTTGTGTCGCTATATGTACGATTTGAAGATTGACGAGTGTAAATTTTGACGAGAAAAGAAAAATTGTCAATATAGTCAAAATTAGCACATCGTCAAAATTTCCACGTTTACAGTATTGTATTGTGGTTACAGAAGTAAAGATAATGGCCCGGTAAAGCTGTGGGACCAGGAAATGTTGAGACGTAGAGCATTCCCCCTCACTGAGACAGGAAACAAGATAGATGTGGTTAAATCAGTCTGTAGAATCAAGGTGAGATTAATATGAGATATAGGACATTCTCACTGAGACAGGAAACAAGATAGATGTGGTTAAATCAGTCTGTAGGATCAAGGTGAGATTTTGTCTGAGACTTACTACATTTTTAGGTCACCTGAGTAACTCAGGTGACCTATTGCTATCTGTTTTCGTCCGTCGTCGTGCATCGTCCGTCGTGTGTTAACATTTGAACATTTTCATCTTCTCCTCTGAAACCACTGAACCAATTTCAACCAATTTGTGAATTTTATGGCCCCAGGGTCAGGGGTTCTGGTGTTAGGGCAAGGCTGTATTGATCATATAGTGAAAATGCATTAATTCTTTGAAAATCTTCTTCTCTGCTCCTGGCTATAATAATAAACTAATTAAGTACATAGTTGTTTTGAGAAAGAGTGCCACTTCCAAAATTGTGAATTTCATGGCAGGGGTTCTGGTGTTAGGGGGGGGGGGGCTCTATCAATTATATAGTGAAAATGCATTTATTCTTTGAAAATCTTCTTCTCTGCCTCTGGGTATTAAATAAACTAACTAAGCACATAGTTTTGATGAGCAAGAATGCCACTTTCAAAGTTGTGAATTTTATGGCCCCAGGGTCAGGAGTTGTGGTGTTGGGTGGGGCTCTATTGATCATATAGTGAAAATGCATTAATTCTTTGAAATTTTCTTCTCTACTCCTGGGTATTAAATAAACTAACTAAGTGCATAGTTATGATGAGAAAGAGTGCTTCTTCCAAAATTGTGAATTTCATGGCCCCATGATCGGGGTTCCGGTGTTAAGCTTTGAAAATCTTCTTCTCTGCTTCTGGGTATTAAATAAACAAACTAAGCCAATAGTTATGATGAGCAAGAGTGTCTCTTCCAAAATTGTTTATTTAATGGCCCCAGCGTTAGGGGTTCTGGTGTTAGGGTGGGGCTCTATTGACTATATAGTGAAAATGCATTAATTATTCTTTGAAAATCTTCTTCTTTGCTTCTGGGTGTTAAATAAAGTAACAAAGTACATAGTTATGATGAGCAAGAGTGCCACTTCCAAAATTGTGAATTTTATGGCCCCAGGGACAGGGGCTTTGGTGTTAGGGCAGGGCTCTATTGATTATATAGTGAAAATGCATTAACTCTTTGAAAATCTTTTCCTTTGCTCCTGGGTATTATGCCAATGATCCAAGTATATATATTTATGATGAAGAAAGGTGCATCTAGCAAAATGGTTATTAGGGCCCCGCAAGGATTTGCGGGTGCCCTATAGTAATCACTCTGTCTGTCTGTCCGTCTGTCTGTCCGTCTGTCATTCTTCCGTCCACAAATTTTCTGTTTTTTCCTAATAACTTTTTTTATTGTAGTCCAATTAAGTTCAAATTTGGTATGGTAGTTCAGTAGGCAAAAAGACATATTTTGATGCTAAGTTTGTTTCTCTATGTCCTCTGGTTTGGAGCTGGGGTGGTGGGGTAGATTCCTTAACTTAACATAAAAATGAATTGGCAAAGAGAGATAACTTCTGAAAATGTTCCCATTGTAAACTGAATACTGGCAATGAATGAGTCCCTTGGGATTAATTAGCTTTCCTCCTGAAGAAAATCCAAAGCATTGTCTTTATCTGTCACATTGAAATTAATTACCACCTCTGTCTGCAAATGAAGTTTGTTTTGATGTTAAGTCCATTTGGCATGCTATGAACACTCTGAAATGTTGATTGAAGTATGGATGTTTTTACTTTATTTTTGTTGAAATACCCTGCACAATGAGTTCTAATTTCATTAAATTCTAAAAACAAGAAATAGATTAAAGAAGACATATTTTTTTATTTTTATTTATTTATTTTATTTTATTTTATTTTATTTTTATTTTTATTTTTTTTTGCTTCATGAAAATTCAAGAATATTAATTTTTAGGGCAGTAGGATAAAAACTTCATTCTATCATTACTGAAAAAGTTCTTATTATAAATTAAGAAGAAGATGATGAGAGAGAAGTACAATTAATCCCTTGGGATTAATTATCTAGTCTGCTGCAGAAAATTTAGAAGGCTTATCTTTATCTTTCTCTTTAAGATTAATGAAAACCTTTGTCTGCAACTGCTGTTTGTTTTGAAGTTAAGGTCAAGCCTTCATGATATGTATTTGCATTCATTGAAGGCTGGCATTTTATATAACACAAGCTTCATTATTGTTTAGATATACATTCAGTGTTGAATTGTTCTTTACTGCCTTATGTAAAATAAATAGAAGGATATTATTTACAGGTTTTTAGATATTCAGGAATTATCTTGAAATTTTAAGAATACAGTTGCTGTTTCTTATTCGTCATATATTTTTTAATCATTCCATAAGCTGCACCCTTATAATTCTACCCCATGGCGGGGCCCTTGCTGATTGGTCAGTTTTCTAGTTTTTTATGCCCCCTGGGTCGGGGGGGGGGGGGTACATAGTCTGAAAATAAATTAATGCTTTGAAATTTGCTCTTTAGTTTTAATCAACCATTTTATGATAAAATTTGCAAACTTTTGAAATATGTGGCCCCTGGGTCAATGGTTCCTTTGGGGTGAGGTGCACAACTGGTTATAAAGTGGAAGTGCATTTTCTCTTTGTTACTCTGATCTACTTCTGGGTATTAAGTAAATAGAGTAAGCATGATAAGTTTATAATTATGATGATAAGCAATGGTGCCTCTTTCAAAACTGTGAATTGTGAATTGTGAATTTCATGGCCTTTGGTTTAAAACATGAACCAATTTAAATTGTTTGAAAGTTGTTACACGATACTCAGGTGACCTATAAGGCCAGTGGGCCTCTTGTTTAATATACAATTATGGACTGTTTAGAAGGGAGACATCACCAATTATCAGGTCTGATAAGGTTTTTGACAAACCTACTTAGACCTGATGATTGGTGATGTCTCCCTTCTAAACAGTCCATAATGGATTTAATCATTTATTATCCTGAAGAATCTAAATTATCAATTAGATAGTGTAGAAAATAGTTATCAAACGTCTTGTGTTCTCCTACTCTGCTCTGATTCCATACATTTAAAATATGTCAACAGACAACTTCGATGTTCTCGTTAGAATTTATCGTTTACCGATCCTGCATATATTTAGCAATCAATGTACATGTATAATTATGAATAAGAGTTATCTTGCTTAAGCCCTTGTATTTTCATTCAAAGAGCGACAACACAGTTGTTACCCTGCATGCTCACTTGCGCCATTTCATTATCATCTGAAGGGTGACAACTGGAAGGGTGACAACAGTTGTCACCCTGTGCATGAGCGAGACATCATGAATTGTCCCACCTCAAGTGACATGCTCTAAACCAATCAGATTGACTGTATAATTCAGAAGGATAATAATAGATTTTGTCTTACTTTGTATCATGTGTGACTTAGCATATTATCTAATTCAGAATATTCGTTCATATCATGACTTACTTAAATATAGAGAATTAAGACTAAATATTTGAGTCCTCCATATTAAAGCTAATGTTTTGTTGCAGGGTAAGATTTTGGTCGGGACAAAGGACAACACGATCCTAGAGATCACAGAGAAGAATGCAGCGGTCCAGGTCCTGGTAGCAGGTCACGGGGAGGGGGAGGTGTGGGGACTCGACGCTCACCCCGTCCTCTCCAGATTTGTCACCGCCAGCTTTGACGGCTCTGTACGAGTGTGGGACCTGACAAATAAGGTTAGGCTTACTAGAATTCCTTATATTAGAAAAAACATATAGAAACATGTAACTGAAGCATCTGCAGAGAATGAGATAAAAAGAGATTATTTTGAATTTCAGTAGTACATGTATGTTTGTTTTTTACCTCTTAGACTTTTTGTGTTACATGCTAGGTATATATACTAAACATTTGAAGACATGAGATAAACCCAGTGTATTTGATAATTTCAGTCCTTGGTTGGGAAGTTGTCGGTGAGTGCTGCTCGCTCAGTTGCCTTCAGTATGGATGGAGAGTTAATTGCTGTGGGTTGTAAGAATGGGGAATTCCTTGTCTTCTCGGCCAATGAATTAAAGTTACTGGGAAAGAGACGAGATCGCTCAGGGGCCATAAATGACATCAGGTAGGTCATGCTACAAATGTAATCAATTGCTTGGGGTTATCCTTGTTATATTTTTTTACAAGTAATCTGTCTGAAAACTTGTTGGGTTTTTTTCAAGCATAAACCTTTCATGAAACATATACACAACTATTGTGGTGAAAGAAAATTTTACGAGTTAATTAAAGTTATAAAGCACAAGCCTTGGCAATGCTCATATTTTCTTACCATTAAAAATGTGCTCTTTAATTTTTTTTAAGGAAGGGTTTTTGGGGGGTTACTCTACAATGAGTTACATGTAATTTTTGTATGTATAGATTCAGTCCAGATAAGAAGCACCTGGCCGTTGGGTCGGAGGAGAACTGTGTGGATTTTTACGACCTGACCTCGGGGCCTGCCCTCAATAGGAGTGGCTACTGTAAGGGGATTCCGAGCTTTGTTATCCAGATGGACTTCTCAGCCGACAGCAAGTACATCAGGGTCAGTCTGTCTGTCTGTGGACGGCAAAAACGCTCATTTTATTACCAATTTCAAATAAAATTACAACTATAATTTACAGCTGATTGAACATGTTACACAATTTGCATCTTAGTAAAAATATTCCTGACTCTCAATAAAATATTTCTCTTGACAAACGTAAAGTTTTACAGTAACTCAATTGTGAAAACTCTTCTTAGTGTGGTTTGTCCTTCTAATTTAATGTTAAAAATAAAAGTAATTTAAGGTAATCTCCATTGAACATACACTGTAGTGTTAATTTCTATTCTGTAGGTAAGCACGGGAGCTTATATACACCAGGTGTTTGAGGTTCCCAGCGGGAAAATCATAGAAGACCAGAAAATCATAGATAGCATCACATGGGCTTCGTGGACAAGGTATATATACTTGTCAATAGCTGCAGAACTGTAACTCTCTGGTGTAGAATGTAGAATAGCAAATTAAGTATCCAAAAACAAATGTATTTCTTAATAATCTTAATTCTTATTAGCATCCAGATGAGGGAAGATATGAAAATATATAGATGTATAATTAAAATGTTTAAAAATAGAGATATAAAAGCTTTCCAATAATTTTGAGTTGTGTATTTTATAAGACATTCAATCCTTACATTTGTACCTGTTTGACAGTGTTCTGGGGAAGGAGGTGGTGGGAATCTGGCCCAAGGACTCCAGTAATGCCGACGTGAACTGTGCTCACCTCTCACATCTGGGAACAGCCCTGGCCACGGGTGACGACTTTGGTTATGTCAAATTGTTCAACTTCCCTTGTTCAGAAAAAAATGTAAGTCGGTTGATAAATACACCTAGTGACAAATACCATTATAACTGTTCTTAGTTTAATTAATTTCACACTTATCTATATCTGCGTTCAAGAAATATAAAACAGACTCAGCTCAAAATTAAGCTTGTTCCTTTTTATCAGTGGGTGAGCTTTTTGCTATCTGTCATTGCTCATTGTTACATGTTTTGACCCATGCCTTTGCTTGCCTTCTCTAGGCCTTGGTAAGTTTGCGTTGGAGTAAGTATGATTGATTGTACTCCTGCCTTTATTAGGGCTTCATCACCAGACACTGATCAGGCATACCCTTGTAGATCCATGTAGCAAAGTATAGAGCTAGTATATGTACACAATCAACAGTGAACCATAATGATATCTTGCAAAAATAAAAAGACTGTCCTAGTAGTGGTTGAAAATAGGAATTAATTTAAACATGGTGAAATTTTAAATCTGTGAACTTAATGATAAACCCACGATCAAACTGATGCTTTCTGTATTGATGTTGAATTTAAAAATGGTTCCTCTGCATGAATAATAATATTATATACCACAATAGAGGCTACAGTGTTATATCTAACGTGCAGATTAATAAAGCGTGACATGAACGTCTGACAATAAATACAGAGGTGACTGATGGAGTGGAGGTTTATAAGAACTGTTATGTTTGTTTATGGGGATTTTTTTAATGGGGATTTTTTAATTTTTTTGCATTAACATAAAATTCTGTCTACTAATTTGTTTTTACTTGTGTGTTAATGAAAGATTCAAGAATGAAATTGCATTGACAAGGGAGAAAAATTAGATGTTCACATTTGGCACAAGGCATTTTATAACCTGAGGGTGATGTGTGAAATATAAATACAGTCGAATTTAGGTATCTTGAACTCTGACATCTCGAATACCAAGGAATATGTCGAAGTGATTTTGAAGTCCTAACTACTTATTCTTTAAGTATTTTTCCCTTGATATCTAGAATGCTTGGAAATTTCTAGGGTTCTCAGCCCCATCATGTTAGCCATAACAAGGTTTGACTGTAGTTATATTTTTATCACAAGCGTGTTAATATTTGAACATTTTTTATCATCAAATTTAAAGATAAGATTGGTTCCATTGTTTTTTGTATAGTAACAATATGCTTTGAACTGTTTGTGTAAAACAGGATTTGGTTTTATAGATAATTTGGATTCTTCTTTTTTTGTAGGCACCTCATAAATCGTATGTGGGACACTCAGCCCATGTAACTAATGTCCGCTTCTCATTTGACGACAAATACTTAATAAGTACTGGAGGAGATGATTGCAGGTTTGTTATTTCTATAATTAGAATCTCTTGGGAGACTCTTACATTCGAACTATTATTACTTTCATTTTCACCTTTTTACAATTGATTTTTAGATACTTAAAATATATACTATACAATGTACATATATAACATTTGTTCCCAAGACCAACTTCAAGATATTATTTGGTATGGTAGTGACACAAAAAAATTTTATAAAGAAAATCACAAAATAATTTTAGATGCTAAATACCAAGGGGTATTTTGTGTAGTAAGATGTTATTTCTTGTTCATTATATGGCTGTACAGAGATGTATTTGTGTTGGTTACGTTTCAGTGTCTTTGTATGGCGTTGTCTCTGAGCATAAAGACTACAAAAGACAGCCTGTGTCCGTTCTCCTGGAAGAACTCATCTAAGAAATAACCAAGGACTAGAAGTACATGTAGATACAACTGAAAAACACTGTTAATTATACATGTAGATTAATAACTCTAAATATTACTTTACTTAGATAGTGTCCCAATCTTAAAAATTTTACTTATACTGGTCACATATTTGACCATTAGGCAGCATGAAGTATGAGTGGTTGTGTATTCCTGGAATTTGTGGAGAAGTGTGAGTCAGTATACTCATCAAGAGAGCTTGTAGAAGTACCTTATTATAATCTTCCATGTATTAATTGTCTAATGTATACATATCTAAACATACAGTCAAACTTCCCTCGAAGTCAATGGGCTGAGAAGAAAACTTGAGATATCCAAGGATTTGAGACATTGAGGTTCAAAAACATATAGAAATGGTGATTGGGACATGTAACTCCTCTTGACATATCTATGATATTGGAGGTATCAGTGAAAGAGATACCAAAGTTTAACTGTAGCTGTATTATTATCTAACTGTAGTTGAGAGAGGATGGTTTTTTTTATTTATGTTTAAAAGATATGTTTGTATTCTATGTTAACTCATATGTATATCTTCAGGAAAATGAAATATTTTTATGTCTCCGTCCACTTAGAAGATTTGCCTTCAGGCTTCAGTCTTATTTTGTACTTTTATTTTTTATATACATTACAGTTTTACATAAGTTATGTAACTTCTAGATCTGGATATTTGAAAAATTTCAAAATTGACTATAAATCTTTTATGGTTTTTGATACTTTAGTCACATCAGAATGTGATATTAAAATGTCACAATTTATTGTATCAATGTAAAGATCTGAAGAAATTTTAATCTTATAAATCAAATTGTGATTCCTTTATGGTCTGCTACACATTATAGTGATCAATAAGAGGTTGTTTACAGAAAGAAACCATAACATATACAAAATTTATTAACTTTACCACTCCATATTTTGTGCAGATATACATGTTTTTGTTAACTTATAAGCAACTTTTGTTCAAACTGTGATAGCATGATTTTGAGATTTATGTATAGCTTCAGCAAACTTTTGTTTCTTTGTTTTATAAAGTATATATTTATAAAGATGTAATTACTTTACTATAGGTGCAAGTATGTATGTAGTTGCATAAATTTTACTAGTATAAATGATTTGTTTTTTTTAAACAAGAGGCAATGATATTCACAGTTTTGAAAGAGGCACCATTGCTCATCGTAACTTAACACTTGCTACTTTGCTTATTTAATACTTAGAGACAGAGCTAAGGAACAAAGAAAAAAATGCATTTCCCCTATATAATCAGTAGTGCCCCACTCCACAGGAACCCCTGACCCTGGGGTCACACACTTTACAATTTTGGAGAAGGTGCCCTTGCTAATAATAAATCTACCCCCTCCCCCCCACTCACACACACACACAAATAACCTTGACTCATGCACCAGAAAATATGAATATCACAATTTTTGAATGGGCACCCTTCCTCATCCTAACAATGTACATGGATCATTGGCATACTCCCAGGAGCCGAGATTTTCAAATATACAATATAACTAGATGAGATCTCGTTGCGAGCAACGAGTAGGTCTTCCGTCCGATTTTTTGATCAGATATGATTTTGACCATGATCTTTGTTAGGTCATAATGATATCAAGAATTCTCTCCCTTGATTAAATTCTTTTACTTTCTATAAGATTTTTAAATTCATGTAGTTACGGATGAAAGTCTTTTGGCCCCTAAGGGCCCCTCATTTGAGGGGTCAGACCCTTTCTTCCTATCCAATGATAAGGTTTCTCATTTCAAAGAATTTTTGTTCAACAACTATGCAGAAATTTCTTTTTGTTTTCGAGCTATGTAGGATAGAAAAATTTAGGGGCCAGTCCTTTACATCCTTAATGGGATGTTTTTGCATATATAGAATGGTTGTATAATGTTTAAAAGACGATTCTGAGCATCTTTTATTCGATACTGCTTATCAAAATATTTCCCCTTTTGGAGGTATAAAGATTCCAAGATTGAACATTTTGTCCCCTAATGGCCCCTAATTACGTAACATATTATCAACATTTTACAATGCATTGATGCAGATTGTTATGATAAACAATTTTGCTTCAGTTATTTATAACAAAAAATTGATAAATAAAGAGTTATAGATGAAAGACTTTTGGCCCCTCTCTGTCCTTTATTTGAGGGGTCACACCCCTTTTCTTCATATCAAATGAAAGGAAATTTAATTCTGCACAACTTTTATTATACATCTTTTAACAAATTATTGACAGGTATAAAGATATAAGAGAAAACGTGTTAAATTTTCCGAGCCTATTTTTTGAGCTCAGGCGAGCTTCAACGCCTTTTGCGACGGGAAGATACAGACTCAAAAAAGCAATTCAGCAATCCTTCCTCTACCTACACTGAAAATCTCAAGTCAATATCTTCATTCGTTTTTTAGTTATTGCCAGGACAAGCTGACCCTCTAAAAATCAGTAAATCGTCCATATCTCACGACCGGAAGTGACGACTTACTTATAAAAAATTTCCAACAAGGTTCAGACCAATATCTATCAGATCTGAAAGTTTCGTGAAAATCGACCGAGCCGTTTCCGAGAACTTGCTCAAAATCGGTAAGAAAAAAAAATAATAGGGAAAAAGAAACCGAACGAAAACAAGGTCTTCCGTTGTAAACGGAAGACCTTAATTACGTCATTGGCATATACTAGTAATACTCAGGACCAGAGAAGATTTTCTAAAAACTAAATAGTGAATGCATTTCCGTACACAATCATTAGATCCCAACCCTAACACGAGAATCCCTGTCCCAAATTAAGGGCCATGAAATTCAAAATTTTTGAAGAGTTACCCTTCCTCATCATAAACATAGCTCACCAGCTTATATTCTGTTCAAAGAAGTGGTCTGTTCACTATAATATATCAACAAAGCTCCGCCCTAACACTAGATACCCTGACCCTGGGGCCATGAATTTCAATATTTTGGTAGAGGACTCGATGCTCATCACAAGCATGGCAACAGTTTGACTGGATGATGTCCAGGTGAAAAGTTTTAAAAAATAAAGATTTTAAAGATTGCATTAATTTTAGTAGTTTTGGCCTCACCCCTCAGGGGGGGGGGGGGGGGGGCATGCACAGGCACCATGGAATTCACTATTTCTGTTTCCTTTCACCCAAAGATGCTATATGCCAAAGAGCGGTTTCAGAAAGGTTTTGAAAATATTCAAATATTACAAACTACGATAGACTAAAACAGATAACAATAGGTCACCTTAATTAGTGACTCGGGTGACTTAAAAATCTTTTAAAGTCTTCTCCTCAAATACCACTGAGTCAGAAAAAATGAATTTGATGTGGAAGCATCCTAGGGTAATGTAGATTCTAAATTTTAAACATCATACATGTAATTACCGGGTAAATAGGTATAGGGGAAAATTAAGGGAATCCAGTTTTTTTGCATTGAAGTGTATTTATATAGGAACAATTTTCGCAAGAACCATCGGGGGTAGGGTGGGGACATGATAGATATTACAAGGGAGAAAGTCTGGCGAAGAACGTTATTCAGGTGAGTGTTGTGGCCCAAGGGCCTCTAGTAATTCACATGTATGAACATTTATACTAGTACCTCATACTTTTTGGAAAGACCACCTTTTATCATCGGGACAGAATTTCTCCCCTGATTTGTCCTTGCTACAACAAAATAGGGAGAGGATGTAAATTATAAGGATCGACATAGTAGATACCCGGTATCCAAAGGTGGATCCAGAGCGGCGCGCCGCGCCAGGCGTAGCCCCCCTTTTCTTGTTTGATTTTTTTGTTAGTAAAACTTATATATGTCCATTATCCTCAAATCAAGGGGGATCGAAACATCTCTTATTTGTAAGAACTTGTCAGCTTCCGGGGCTTCGCCTCCGGACCCACAAAAGGACTTTGCCTTAGACCCACAGGGGCTTCAGTACAGGCCCCAGACACACACACACACACACACACACACCCGCCGCCTTCTACTGCGCCCTCTCGTTACGAAATTCCTGGATCCCCCACTGATATATGTTTCGGTTTCAAATAGGGGGAGGAAAAACATTTTATTAACTGTCCAAATCCTGTGGAATTTGCCAGTGCTCGATCATACAGCAATAAAAAGGAAGGGTGGGGGAGCGGGTTTGAGGCAAACATCATCTAAATGCAATTTCACCACTGCAATTAAAATACTGTGCTCAGAATTTACTGGATGAATTGATCTGCCTTCCCCCATTTGTACCCCCCTGCGACATGCCCAATATTTTGGTAGTATAGTTGTCGCTTGCATTAGGTTAACATTGTGATTTATGCAAGGTAAGGCAGATCTATTCAAAATTGTTAAAATTGCATATAATGAAATTTTCAGAATTATGTACAAAACATCTCTTTTTAAACTTTTAAAGTAGGCTTTGATTGCGGGATAGGTTACTGACCCACTTAAAACTTTCGTTTTAGTAGTAGTCTAAAAATAACTACATGCGGACATACTTTAAGGATAATTTTTTGGAAGTTGATGGCACAGGCACTTGTTTCGGGAATAAATTTTAACCCATAGTATAATAAGTGTTATTATTATACTATGGGTAAAAATTTATTCCCGAAACAAGTGCCTGTGGTTGATGGTTCGTTTTAATAGCGAATAAAGGATAATTAGATCTGGACATACTAACAGTATACAAATATGAAATTTCATATTAAATGATACCGATATAATATATTCTATGACTGAAATGCAAGTTTTTGATAAATTTAAAAGAAAACAATACAGCCAAACAACACGATACTATTTCACTACAGAGCCTGGTGACACCCCCCTTTTGAGATGTTGATTCGTTTTATTACTCCTAGAGTATACGTAACGAGCCATGATTAACTTCTTTTTTTACCACCCCCTATGAGCACTGAGGTTTGAAGAATGGGACAATGGTCATCATTTTTCACCCCACCCCCCTCCCCTTCACCTGCTCTAATACTAATTGTGGTTAAAAAAATATGAATTTGATAATGTCATTGTACAAGAACACAATATGAAAAACAAAGCTTAGGATTGGAACTGTGACCAACAATTTCTGAGCTGCCTGTCACAAATAATAAAAAAAAAATTACTAGTTCACCTGGTCATAAAGGAATTGTGAACTGGGCCCAATTTTACAAATACACGTAAAATTTGAAATCTTGTATAACATTAAAATTCAAATATATGTTGAAAATTTTGTTTCAAAATTGATTTTGATATGAAATTTTGACTTAAGTCTATTCTTAATTTATGGTCTCGGGCCCAGGCCCCAGGATCATGAAACATCTTAAGCTTAAGTCAAAATATTCATGTTGTACTAGAATTTAGATTTATGGGTCAAGTAAACAAAAATTTAATAAAATATTTTTTAATATTGTTTTACAAAAATGGTCGTTATCTGCAAAATTAGAGATTCATTCAATAATTCAATCTAAGTCTATTTCATGATCCTTGTCCTGCCATTCATTCTCAATTTAACATTCCTTTTTCAGAATGCTGCCTGCAGGTTTATTGTCTATTGGTGCCATATATATTTGTATTATTGGATTCAAGGTATTCTTCCCATTTCATAATGATCTAGTAAACAAATTCCAAATTCTGCTCAAATTTTAGGGATTTCCTATTTTGTGACTATATCCTTAATGCTTGACATAATCATGTCCTCTTTTATAATACAGGAGACCCATCAGTTCAGTATTCCCTGCAATGAATCTTTAGCTACTGTCCGGCCAGTCAGTTACTGCCCTATGGATGAGATATCATTTGAGAAGGCAGCACAGAATATGAGTTGTGCTACCATTAACAACAATTGTGTCAGATTTGAGTACCACTGTGTACTAAATGACTATTTAAATGGGACAGTGGAAGTGTGTGCCCCCTCATTATGGGTGACTGGTAAGTAGTAAAACAAATCCACATGCTACAATGTAGGTCACTTTAGAAAGAGGTAGAAGGATATGGGGCTCCTTCAAAGAAAATCACTATTTATTGATTGAATCAATTCTTGTGCATTTTGGATATATTTAGGGAAGAAATCTGCTGATGGAGAATGATAGGCCCATGGTAAGTTAGTAACCCAGGTAAGTGATATGGCCCACGGGCCTCTTGTTCTGAAGAATAGCAAGGTCAGTGATCCTAGTACTCAGGTGAGCCTAATGACCCATAAGTCTCTTGTTAACCTCCAGTTTATCATTTATGAGGAAACCTTGCTTTCATAAATATGAATATATCAAACTTTGAAAGTATTCAAAGAAAATATCTTTGATTTACATGCAGTTATCTTTTATTTTGGCAAGGTGGCTGGATCATAGGGTGGTTTATTGGGAGGAAATCAGGGAGAAAAATGCTAACCTTAATAATGGCATACTGAAGCAGCAATATTTCAAAAATATATGTTCATATGAAGTTATTTTTTGTGTTTTATATTGATGAAAATAATGATGACCATGATAATTAATTAAATGTTAAAAAATATGATGTATTCTTTATTTTTCAGGTCATGTGTGCACCAAATTCGATTCAAAACTGAAAAGCATTTTTAAAACAGAGGACATAAGTTGTAAAAATTCAACACCATCATGTGGCTTCAGATATAATTCTACAACTCTTTACAACTGTAAGCAGGCTGAATTTAAAAATCATTGAAATACTAGTACCTTAATTTGTCTCCTTTGATTATAAAGGATGGGCTTGATGGCTGTCTGTGTATATGTCATTTACAAAATCATATTGTACTATGAGTATTAACTCATGACTTTTTAAACTCTTCCTTTGAATGGGCTCAAACTTAGTATATTACTGCTCATACCTAGTGGTGTGTCAAAAATCTGACATAAATTCATCTCAAACTTTAAAATCACTAGGTAATCAATGTCTGAATTATGAAGTTAAAGACATTTACTTCAGAAAATCCCTTCCATAAGATTTACGGATGTGTCCTGACCTGGCTGCAAGGTCATATCTTAGAGGGAGTCAAGGTTAAACATTATAACAAGCATATTATAACTGTAGAGCAAATATGTTCTGGAGATAGCTCCATAATAGCTTTATTTTTATGTCTCCTTAAACGAGGTTTCAGGCTTATATAGTTTTTGTTGTGTCCATCCGTCTATCTGTCTGTCTGTCTGTTTATCTGCAAAAACTTTAACCTTGCCCATGATAACTTTTGATTTAGTGGAGCTCTGATAGACTTTCATATTTCAAAGTTTGACCCACTTTTACACAAAAATTCTAAACTTTTACTTTGGCCAAATTTTTGAACAGTAGATACCAGGACTTTATACTTCATATTTATATTTTTGTGGAAAGACTTTTCATTGAGTACCAAAAACTTTGACCTTTTGATCTTGACCTTGGAGATTTCCTTACTTTTGAAAAAAAACTTTAACATTGGCCATAACTTTTGAACGGTAAGGGCTAGGGCTTTCATACTTCACAAATGTAATCCTTGTGAGAAGATAATTCATTGCATACCAAAGACTTTGACCTTGGAGTTTGACCTACTTTAAAACACAGCCTTGACAATCATTTTTAAGGGGCCGGGCTAGGGCTTTCATACTTCACATATTTAATTCATGTAACAAAACCTTTAATTTGATATCAAGAACTTTGACCCTTTGACCTTGGCATTTGACCCATTTTTACACAAAAAATCTAAACTTTTACTTTGGCCCTTATTCTTAAACGGTAGATACTAGGAATTTCAAATATCAGCTCCTTGTGGTAAGACCTTTTATTTGAAATCAACAATCTTGTACTTGACTTGACCATAACTTTTGAACGGTAAGGGCCAGCGCTTTCATACTTCCCATATGTAATCTTTGAGACAAGGCCTTTTTTAGAATCCAACAACCTTGACCCTTTGACCTTGACCCCGGAGTTTGTCCTATCTTTAAAAACGTTTACCTTGGTCATAACCTTTGTACAGGTGGTGCTAGGGTTTTATATTTCACATTTGTATTTCTTGTGAAAAGACCTTACTTTAGATACCAACATATTTGATTTGCATTTGAGAAAGCTTAACCTTCGCTATGTTGCCATACGGGGGCATCTGTGTTTCACAAACAGATCTTGTTTATTTCTGTTTCAGATAGAAGTTGCTATAATTTGAGCAATATAGCTAAAATTATTGACAAAAAATTAACCAATCTGAAAACAACTGCAGTCCCCCCCAGTACACGGTCAGTAGGTCTTTCACATAAATGTTGATAAGTGGGTTTTTTGTTTGAATAATGAATAAAAACAAAATTTAAATTGAAGAAAAATAATGCTGTTAATTAAATGTACTTAGATTTTAATTATTTTTTTCTAGAGAAATTTTAAAAACAACTGTCCCTGTTTTTTCCACATCGAAACTGCCAACTGTTTTTGATAAAGGGTAAGGGATTATACTTTCATTGTTTTAATGTTAAATAATTAATTTATTTAAAAAATGAAGTATTTTGAAATATTCATTGTTGCTAAGAGTCTCCTGTGCATGCTTGAGTCATCTTTAAATAAAAATGTTTGATTGCCCTCTCCCGACCAACCGACTAAAAATGGCCCAACTCAAAATTTATTTAAGCTCAATGAAGCATGTTTTTTATTTTGCATTCCAGTAAATAGATTTTAAAGATTCAGCATTGCTTTTGAAATTTCCTTTGAAAAAAATTCTCATCTGCCGGTACCCACCGACTCAATTTCATCATCCTCTCACCTACCGGTACCCACCGACTCAATTTCATCATCCTGAGTCGCGAAAGGGAAAGCAAACGTTATTTTTAGTTGGCCTGGTCAATTTACATTTCCCTAATTTTGACATTTTTTATTTAAATCAGAGAAGATGAGGATAAAACAGCTGGTAATGTTGTGGGTATAGTTCTTGGTGCTATTTTTGGAGTTTGCGTGGTAGTGGTAGGGATAGTTGGCAGTCTTGTCTTATGTCTGAAGCTCAAATGGAGAACTCAAAGAAGGAAACGCTTACCGGTAAAATACACAGGTAACAGTAAAAATCACTTATCAACTTCTTACTCCCCATTTTAAGATAATATTTTTCTGAAAGTTCTGTACATTTCATCCTTGACCTTTTATTAAACCAGAACTTAAAATGGCAACACAAAGTGATAAGAAACATATTCAGGACACATTGGACTATATTGAAGTGGATGGAAGTCCTGAAACTATTCCTTTGTTTAGTAAAAATGGGGACAAAGAAGAAAAACCAGAATGTGATCACACAGGTAATAATACAAGTATTGAGATGATATGAAGAATGGACAACTCCCAGAAATTTAAAGAAAAAAAGAGGGACAAATTCAAAACCATGGAAGGAAAACCTGCCTCAAATTAATTGCCTGTAATGAAAAATATGGAAATATGTATTGTATTCAAAATATCCTTCTTTATCTGTGAACATCTACCCAACAATATTATAAGGAAAGCTTTGAGCTTAATTTCAACCAAAATTGTGACATTTCAACCACACCCAACCCCAACCCCAAACAAAATTGGGATATGGAGGTGATCATCACAGAACATATTTGGTCGTTATTTTATCAGATGATTATTTCTCAATATAATTTCTTAATTATATACAACACTCATATTTTGTATATAAAACTTGTACATTGTCCTCATTTTGTCAGTAAATTAATCATCATTTCTCAGTATAAATTGTTAAATTTATTTTTTTGTATATACGCTTGCAAAAGATGGGGGAGCTAAGGCACTTGAAAATGAAAAGTTACCCACCAGCGTTTCTGATATGTCTCCTTTGCCATACAAGTTGATGTCACAGGAACAAGGAATCAAAGAAGAACAAGTAACGGCTCCTAAAACTGGTAACATTCCATTATCTGTCCTGTAATCCTGTGACACTGGGATGTGGCACAAAAAGAATATATTTTATTCATATATTAATATTCAATTCACCTTTTAAGTCTTTTTAAGATGTTAAAAAAGATTTTTTAAAATTATTGTTTATATAAGTTTTTTTAAATATACAAGAGCTATTTAACATGTTTAAATTAGTTGGTTGGTCCAAGACAGGTATGACAGGTCAACAGGGGATGCTTACACCTACAAGGCACCTAATCCCACCTCCAAAATCTGTGATAACCTGTTTACAGATTTGTATTTTTGAAAGATTAATAACAGTTATTATTACCTGTTTTGTTTAGACAAAGGTGCTTCTACAATGCCTGCAAAACAGAAAATGCCCCGTGTATTAGAGCCAAGAAATGAGAATGATTATCCTAGAAGTAAACCTAATTATCAAGGTAATCAAAGTATATCGATATAACTATTAATGTCCTTCCTGATAATTATCTGCTACTCTCTTAACTGATTTTAATATGAATAAATTCTTTTTAGATTACCAGCATGACGACAAGAGAGCCAGAAAGAGTGATGTATGTAACTTGTACTTTGAATCCCACCGTTTAACATTAATGTATTTAAAGATTGGATAGCTAAAGACTGAAAATGTGCCTATCCAAGGCATTAAAACCTCTTTAAGAATTAAGCCAATATACCAGGGGCATAGCAACCGGGGGGCCAGGGGGGGCCTGCCCCCCCTTTTTTCCCCAACCTTACTTATACTATATAAATGTTAATTGAAAGCCTGGTTGGCCCCCGCACTTTTAGTGATGTACCGAAAATGTAGTATTAGAATTGGTACTTAAAGTAGTTGACACTAAAGTTTAACCCCCCCCCCCCCCCACCCCCCCACGAAATAGGATTTTCGACTTTGGGCAATTTCTAAATTTTTCCTTTTTTTTTTTTTTTTTTTTTTGGCTTGTCAACTTTTACAGGTAAGTAAAAAAAATTTTTCTCTGGCTGGCCCCCCCACTTTCAAAAACGATGCTACGCCACTGTATACATAGATGACTTCTTTTTTATTGTATCCCACCCCGCCTTATTCATATAGATTAAATGAGCATGATTTGAATGCTGATGTTAAATATGTTAAAGATTTCCTGAACAAAGTATCTAAACAAAATCAGTCTAATTGAAGAAATTTTAAAAAAAAATAGTGCTGAAATATCAATCATGATTTAAAATTCCAAGCTGTCTATCATAGAAAAATTAAAACTGAAAATGGCCATGACTGTAATTAGAAAGTCTAACAACTACAGTGCTGTAGTGTGCTCTTCTAAACCATTAAGCATGTCATATGTTTGATAAACTTCAGTTTGAAGTCTTTACACTATCTGAGGAAAATTTATTTACATGACAAATAACAACTATATTTTCTTGGGAAAAAGATTTTAAGGACTTTTCTAAGCATTTTTTTATAAAATTTTGATCCCAAATTGTGGCACCAGCCTATCCCTGTGGTCATGATTCGAACAACCTTAAATTTATCTCATATGTGTGGATGATACTACCCGTGAGATAAACCTATGCTTTATCCACGGGTAGATGCTTTATTAATAGCACTTTCGGTTTTGACGTGAACCCTCTGCGTCGCTTCAAGAATCAAATTCATGAAAACTTGATTTGTAAAATTGCTTTATAAATAAATGATATTAAACAAGAACTGGGCTAAAAAGCATAAAAAAAGACTCGTATATTTTAAAGAAGTGTCAAGTTTTAACAAGTTTCTGTATAGGTTACCCCCCCCCCCTCCCCGCCCCCCGACGTTGTGCATGTGCATTAACATTTGATTATTTTCAGTTTTTTTCAGCAACCTCTCAAACATTTTTATTTCTTTTTAGCCCATGTCTGACCATGATAGAATTGGACAATTGGAACAGAAATTTTTATATGTTGATACCGAATTGGCCGAGGGGCGTAGAGAAAGGGAAGAGTTGAAAAAAAGTATAACAACTTTAGAGGAAAACATAAAGAAGGAGAAATCAGAAAAGGAGGATTTACAAGAAAAGATTAAGGAACTACAAATCGAAAATAATGAACTCAAACTCGAGAATAAGGACAACGAAAATAAAATCAAAGAACTGCAGAAAGAGATAGAAGAGAAAGATAAAAAGTTAACTTACTTCCAAAACGAGCTGCACAAGCTACAAAAGGAGACTGAGCAGAGATGTGATAAGTCAGGCACAACAAGGCATAAAAGTTATTAAACTACAAATAATAAGATCTTATAAGACATTAGATTATTGGTTAAACTGATGATGTCTATAACTGTGTATAGGTTACACACGAAATCGGAAATTTCACGTTTATCCAAAATGGTTCAGTCATGGGAGGGGACTAAAGTTTCTGAAACATGTATCTAATCCCTTTGACATATTTGCAATAAAATTTGTTAATAAAAGCACAAAAACCTTCTTTTTCAGCTAACCTAGCCGAACGCTTAAGTGAACTTTTCTGATCACATTTTGTTCGTCGTCCGTCCGTCCGTCTAGCTGTCTGTCCGTCTGTAAACTTTTCACATTTTCGACTTCTTCTCAAGAACCACTGGGCCAATTTTGACCAAACTTGGTACAAAGCATACTTGGGTAAAGGGGAATTTAAATTGTTAAAAAAAAAATAAAGGGCCAAGTCTCCTCACAAGGGGAGATAATCAAGAAAAGACAAAAGCAGGGTGGGGTCATTAAAAAATCTTCTCAAGAACCACTGGATCAGAAAAGCTGAAACTTATGTGGAAGCATCCTGGGGTAGTCAAGATTCTAAATTGTTCAAATCATGACCCCCGGGGGAAGGGTAGGGCCACAATGGGGAATCAAAGTTTTACATAAAAATATAAAAGGAAAAATCTTTGAAAATCTTCTCAAGAACCACTGGGCCAGAAAAGCTGAAACTTATGTGCACATGGAAGGATCCTGGGGTAGTGTAGATTTCAAAATGTCTAAATTAAGATCAGTGGGGTAGGGTGGGGATGCATTGTGTATTACAAGGGGGGAATCTGGTAAAGAACAGAATGGTCAAAGCTTCTCAGGTGAGCGATGTGGCCCATGGGCCTCTTATTTAAATTTTTGTTTCCTTTTTTTTTTTTTTTTTTTTGTTTGTACAAATGCACAGTGGAATGATATATCTAGTAAAATGTGAAGAAGAAAAAATGTCATACCCTGTATTTATTAAATTAGTTTGTATTTATGTGATGACAATTTCACATGGTTATAATTTTTTGTATAGATTAATGATTTCAGAAAATGAAAGCAGCATATCAGTATGAACTATTATGAATTGTATTCTGTTATTTAGAAAAAAAAAATGTTCATAAATAATGCATTTTATTTTAAAATAAAATGGAAAAAAAAATGTTTTTCTGACTCTTCTTTTAATTCTTTTGAAATTAATGTGACTTTGATAGAATCTATGAATTATAATTGTGGAACAAGAATGTGATCAAACGAGTGTAGAGCAAGTTTCAATTACTGATCAGAATGATACTGTTTAGTGACTGGATGTCTTCCATAATAAATATTTATGTATTGTATGTTTATTTTATTGTTGAATCATACACTCTACATCTATCTTACAGTAGGACAAATAGCAGTTGTTAATGGACTTAAATTTTTTTTTTTTAAACAATACAATATCAATAACCATTATGGAGAACACTCGATTGTCATAATCAAAAACCGAAAAATTAAAGTTGCATTTTTGTTCATAACTCCGTACTCTTTTGAAAACGATTGTTTAATGTACGTATTCATAATTCAATAATTCAGATTTTGAACTTGCAAGTTACCAAGTGGGTTGGTATTGGTGATCGGAATGTCCGTCGTCCGTCTATCTGTAAGTCCGCCTATATACTGTAAATTCCTAAATATACGCGTGGAATTAATTATCGCGTAATTTCACGAAAAGCACCACACGCGAAATAAAATTATTCGCCTTTATTATTATGGTGCTGAAATCTACGTAAGATCTCTTGATCAACCATCCATTCGCGAATAATTATTCTCGCAATTTGCCGTTGAAGAGCCCATTCGCGATAATAAGTACTCGCGAAAAATAAGGAATCTACAGTATTACACGTTGGGATGCCACACTCTTATCCAGAACTCCTCTTAATCCATGCACCTAATGAGAGACTTTCACAGATTCTTTATTACATAATGCCTTTGTGACCCCCTATTTTACTCTTTGATCCGACACTTATTTTGTGACTTCAAGAGCAAAACATGGACACTGCCACTCTTTCTATAATATTGAGGGTACCAATGTCCTATCCTCCTCCTATAACACTGAATAAAATTTAATGATGCTCTCACAGATTCTTTATTACATACTGCCATTGTGCACCTCTGTTACAACGCACTTTAGAAAATTACGCAATTTGAAAAAAAAAAATTCAAAGTGCGTTAAATTTGGGACCAAATCAACGCACTCTGAAAAAATAAAATTTCTTTTCAAAGTGCGTTGTTAATATCGACCATATTAACGCACTTTGAAAAAATGTGTATGGCTTGGTTAATATTCTTGTAAATCTTAGGTATGATAAATAATTGAACCTGTTTGATAACTCTTCGGTGATGAGGTCACTTCAGGATGTGAAAGTGAGCGATTTTGATTTTTCCATACTTTAAAAATTCTTTCTCTTATATGTTTTACTGTACATAATTTTTAGCTCTACTGATCAGAGACCAGAAGAGCTTATGCGATAGTAATGCGTCCGGCGTCCGTCCGTCTGTCTGTCTGTCCGTCTGTCTGTAAACAATTTTTCAAAATGCTACTCCTCCTACAGTTTTGGTCTAATTTCAATACTGCATACAGGGTTATTTTCGCCCTTTTGCACTTGCGAACAATTTTGCCCCGTTTTTAATTCGCCCAGTTATAGTTTTGTTTAAGAAATTATGCTGTGTAATTTGAATTCGCACCGTTTTAAATTCGCCCAATCAGGAAGAGGGCGAAAGGGGCGAAAATAAAACGGGGGCGAAAATTTCCCTGTATACAGTATAACTTGGAACACAAGTAGACTACACTAAGATACATAATTCTATGTATCGGTTTTTGATTTCGATAAACGGTGTTGCCGTGGTAACTAAAAATAGAAATTTCTGTGAAATTTCTTTAAAAATGCTACTCCTCCTACAGTTTTGGTCTGATTTCAATATAACTTGGCACACAAGTAGACTACACTAAGATACATAATTCTGTTTATTGATTTTTGATTTCGATAAACGGTGTTGCCGTGGTTACTAAAAATAGAAATTTCTGTGAAATTTCTTTCAAAATGCTACTCCTCCTACAGTTTTGGTCTGATTTCAATATAACTTGGCACACAAGTAGACTTCACTAAGATACATAATTCTGTGTATCGATTTTTGATTTCGATAAACGATGTTGCCGTGGTTACTAAAAATAGAAATTTCTGTGAAATTCTTTCAAAATGCTACTCCTCCTACAATTATGGTCTGATTTCAGTATATAACTTGGCACACAAGTAGACTACACTAAGATACATAATTCTGTTTATCGGTTTTCGATTTCGATAAACAGTGTTGCTGTGGTTACTAAAAATAGAAATTTCTGTGAAATTCTTTCAAAATGCTACTCCTCCTACAGTTTTGGTCTAATTTCAATATAACTTGGCACACAAGTAGACTACACTAAGATACATCATTCTGTTTATCAGTATTTGATTTTAATGAACGGTGTTGCCATGTTTACTAAAAATAGAAATTTCTGTGAAATACTTTCAAAATGCTACTTCTACAGTTTTGGTCTTATTTCAATATTACTTGGCACACAAGTAGACTACACTAAGATACATAATTCTGTATATCGGTTTTTGATTTTGATGAACGGTGTTGTCATGGTTACTAAAAATAGAAATGTTTGTAAAATTGTTTCAAAATGCTACTCATCCTACAGTTTTGGTCTGATTTCAATATAACTTGGCACACAAGTAGACTACGCTAAGAACATAAAGAGACTTTATCAAGGATCATTATTCTATTTATTGCTGTTGTAAAGTTTCAATTCCCAACTGCTAAAGTACTTTTCTCTTCCTTTGCTATAAGTACAAACCAGTAGAGCTTCAGTCTCGACAGAGACTTCTGGTTTCCATTTTGCATGCATTTTATGTAAATTTGCACTGAAAATTTGGGCTTAACTTGGGGAGGGGGAATCCACTTTCAATCTGCTTCCGACGGCTATTTACAATGTATAAGAAAAAAAAATGGGCTTAGAGACCTTCTTCTCGTCTTCTCCTTGTTCTCAATGAGGTTAATAAATGAGTATATGTAAATTAAAAAGTTTTTCGAAAGATATCATTATTACAAATTGATCCTCTCAATTACTAAAATCTATAATTTTTTGTTTTATGCATATTTTTTTTCAAAGTGCGTTAAATATCCCAATGGTAAAAATATGTTTATGTACACTCTTAACGCACTTTGAAAAAAAATTCAAAGTGCGTTGATTTTTTTTTCAAAGTGCGTTGAATTTGCCCCAATTTTAACGCACTTTGAAAAAAAATTTCCAAGTGCTTTGCCACACATCTCCTATTTTACTTTTTGATCTGACACATATTTTGGGTTTCTGTCATGTTGTAAATTTTTAATTTACCGGGTGGCAGTAAAATTCAAAATTTACAACATGACATTTCTCACAACAAAACATGGACTTTGTCATTATATTCATATAGGAGGCGGGGTATGTGGCAACGCACTTTGAAAAAATTACGCACTTTGAAAAAAAATTTCAAAGTGCGTTAAAATTGAGACAAAATAAAAGCACTTTGAAAAAAATTTTCTAAGTCCGTTAAATTTGGGACCAACTTAACGCACTTTGAAAAATTTTTTCAAAGTGCGTTAAGAGTTTACATCAATATATTTTACCACGGAGACACTTAACGCACTTTGAAAAAAAAATCGTATTTTAGTTAAGGAAAGATTTTATTGCTATTTATCTTATGAATTGATTTACTCCCTTCGAAAAGAGGAGAAGACGGGTAGAAGATCCCTCAGTCCAAATCTTTATTTTTCCAAACATAGGTGTCGGTAACAAATGGGGGAGGGGAGAAAAAAAAACCCAAAGAGTAATCCGAATTTTCAATGCTTATATGATCATGATGTATATATTTTTCCAAAATAAGTTGGGGTCTTAGTCCCCCTTCCCTGGCCCTTCGCCCTGCTTCGATGTCTATGCTATATACCCAAACATGTATTAGTCGTCAGGCCAACAAATTAAGATTTCCTCCAACAAGCTGTCCTGGGTTTTCATTTTTTCCAGACTGCTCAATAGGCATCGTCCCTTGGTACCTTATGCTGCCAGGCCAACAATATATATATATATACTTTTTGTAATAATATGACTATTAATAATAATAATTTGATTACATAATGTGTTTGCTATTATCCCCCTGGTCATTGCAGTATAAAGGAGCTTGGTATTTTATTACTTATTTTTTTCTTCATATTGTATTATTATCATTATATTATATATGTAATGCTTATATTAAATATATTTCTTTGTGTACTACCCTTTATATCAGTATTTCAAATCTGAGAACTTTTACATGTGGGGATCAAGTCAATTTTGCTTTGTTATAATCATGATTATATTGTTGTTTCTTAATTGTATATGCCCCCAGAGGGCCCTTGATTGATTGGTGAAATAAATAAATATATATATGTATTTACACAACTGGTATGACGTTGAAAACTTTCAATAAATGAGTTAACTTAAACAGATCATGCAGATGAAAACTAGAAATTTTTAAGTACAGTAAAATAAAAGAGAGAAAGAATTTTCATGTTATATATAGTTTTGATCGATCAATTTGACCCCTTTTTATAGTTCTCCCCTTGCATCTACTTATTAAAGACTAGAATTAAAAAAAAAACGAAATAATGATATTAAACAATCGTCACTCTATTTTTTCAGGGCCCTTTTCCCTTTTATTTTATCACAACCTCAAATATTTAAAACGTCAATATCCCAGTTCCTAAGGTGACTTTATCATAAAAAAGTTATCCAATAAGGGTCAGTTATTTAGTATACCAATTATATGTAAGAATGTTGAACAAGCTTTACAGTTTTTCAAAGTGCGTTAATATGGTCGATATTAACGCACTTTGAGAAAAAAAATAATTTTTTCAAAGTGCGTTAGCTTGGTCCCAAATTTAACGCACTTTGAATTTTTTTTTTTCAAAGTGCGTTGTAACAGGGGTATCATTTAGTGAGCTCAGTGTTCACGGTACCTCTAAATTGTTCGATAAACAAATCACCCATTCC